ATAAAATTTTCCCTACTCAGTGCCAGAATTACCAATTTTAGACATCAATCATTACATAACATAGTATAAATAGTATAATATTGTAGTGATTTCTGGCACCAACGCATCACTAAAATATTCCCATACACCCTTGAAAATTTATATTGATGCGACCGAGACTATAAAACCCCAAGTATTCTCAATGATTTTATCATTGAGATACTGGTAGTCACTCGGCATAAGACTAGTACTGCTAAGAGCCGTTAGCAGATCAGTTCTCTCCCCTTCTGGTTCGACCCCCTTCTCTGATATGGTCCGTATACTTGGATGTATACCTCGTATTGATGTCATTTTAAAATAAAAGCCTTGGGATTTTAATGTGAGTTTTTACTTTTATTGTCTCCTACCTTCTCTAAGCGACCTAAATCCGTGGGTTCCCGCGTCGGGAGCTCCAGTATCGTAAAGGTCCCTTCTTGTCTACAGTTTTAAGGTAAGATGACTGGCCATCGGGTCCGCCGTGTCGGGGGATCTGGTCGGTTATGTTGTCAAGCCTTCCCGCGTATATAGCTAATGGACGGAGCCGCCGTGTCGGGGGTTCCGGTCCAGTTACATAATAATACCATACCTTACCCTAACCTACCTTATGATGGTTGGCCGTCGGATCCGCCGTGTCGGGGGATTCGTACGGTCATGCCGTCATTCCTTTACCGTTGATAGTGTGCTAACGGGTCTGTCGTGTCGAGAGATCTGTACGGCTACGCTGTCCTCCTCCCTTACCTCTTTTGACCTATACTTAGTTATGGTTGGTATAGACTACTATATGTGTCATATGGAAGTCTCCGACATCCCCGAGATTGTACCAGGCCGCCGAAGGCTCTGCCCGATTTTTCGGCAATAGTCCTACGTCTTAGTGAAACAGTTGTAGTTTTGTCGGTTCTCAGTGTTATTTAACACTAATAGTCTGACCTTAAAATACAATTTACTAGGTGATCCAATAGTTGCTGTCTTCGTGACAATAGCACTAGTTTGGTTGATTGTTGTAATTATCGGCTGTTTGAGTGAATGTGTGTGTGAATGCATAGCAGTGGATTTCTCGAGTACATATGTGCTTTCGCTAACCTAGTTGGGAAATGCATAGTTACTATTCGATACCGACTGACTAGGCAGGCCAGTGGTCCCAAGAGGGTTCCGGTCTCCCGATCGCGTGATTGTGTGTTAATAGCCGATAACGGACACTGAGTTTAAGACCGTTAACATACGCTCCTCAATAGTGATCCGAGAGTATAGTTAAGGTTTGCCTTAACTTTATGAGTCTATAGTCACCTTCGGGATTGACTGACCCGGTATAAATAAATATTTGGACACCTAATAGTTTATTGTTGTTACATATGCACTGTTCTTACAATATCACGGCCAAAAACCTATAGGTGATGTCAATTGACCCCAGAGACGACATAGTTATGTCTGACCAGATTTAACTGAATACCGTATGTGAGATAATAGAAATGTTACGATAATTATGTAATACTGTCAGCAATCTGTCGGTCATGTATTGTCTTTATCGTAATTGAGTGTATGATGTGTTTCTATAGATTTATGTTAATTTATGTGATCGGTGACTCTCCGGCGATGCATTCGTTGACCGATGCGGCGGCGGTTGTGTACGCGACACCGCTTGCTGTAGTTAATGAGCGCCTTATCATTGACGCCACCACACATACAATTTTGTCTAATATAGTCCTTGTCTATGTATGTTAGTTGAATGTAATTTTGTTGTCTGTTGTAATGTTATACAGTACAGATTAGTAGTCCAGTGATAGTCACCGTAACAAAGGTTTCGGGTGTTATCACATTTCACCGACGAGTGTTGGGTAGGGTTTAACTAGTGTTTAAACGCCTTTATTTAGTGCCGGGTAGGCACGGCTTGGCGGACATATATGGGTTAGATTCCCCCAGAGATTGCTTGTGACGATCCCATGGTTATGTCATCAGAGTCAGAGGACTCTGATTTATAGTTTGGCCACAGGGTTGGTCAACGGGTATAGCATTACTTATCCTATAGTGGGTATTTGAATAGACTATACGCCGGTTTTACCGACGGTAGTACCGAGTGATGGTACTGACCCTTAGACTCAGTCTTACTAGTAGATTGGGCATTGAGTTGCATGTTTTGGTTAGAGGGAGGCTTTGAGGCTTCTCTCGTTGGCAATTATTGGTAGGGCCCGACCAGTTAGTCAATCGTTATGTTTTAGTTACCAGTTTATAATTGCGACAAGACATTTGTTGTCATTGAGTAATGTCGGTTTTTGTTTGTTTTTAGCGCAAGTGTTGCGGCTAGCCAGCCATTGTATGGATGCTGATAACACTGTATCGTCCTGTCTTCAGTATACTATAGTTGTGTCACGTGTAGTGAGTGACCAAACTAGTAAAATAGTTTTTACTGGTCTTAGAGCTTCTGACCAGACCCGAGTGGTACAGACTTCGAGTCTTAACTCTCAAAATAATGAGTCTGTCTTAACATTAAATAGTGTTTCGTTTGATAGTAAAGGTCAAATTGAATTAAATAATCTCAGGACCAGAGATAATACCTTTTATATAATTGGTCCGCAAAGTAGTAATGTCTTAATTTACGATCAATCAGACATAGATTGTATTAATAATTGTGTAGTAAAAGCTAATATTGTGCCCAATGTACAATTAAGACAGCCTAAACCACTACAGGAGTACTGTGCCAATAGTGGCGGCCATTCCAGTGGTTTACGTGAAATCATTGCATGGAAAGTGAAGCGAGTAACTCACCCCAAAAATTCTCATGAAACATCTAAATAATCAACACTTTCCAGATATAAATGGCAATGCTATTAAAATAATATTGAAACGGTATAGAAATAAGATATATTATAGTTATAACAGGAATGATAAAATCTACTCATTACAATATTGCTATTCAACAATTTTTTTAAAAAACTATTTTATTATGACAATTTTATTATATTATGATAAAGCATTTTAAAGTTATCAAACAATTTTATATATTATTTTTTAAATCTAATTTTTTAATATATAGTATCATAACAAACGTGTAATTCATATTATATCATACTATAGTAAAATAATAATAATAATGTGTTTAAAATAATAATTGTACATTTGTTGTCTAAATATTAAAAACAGTTCAGATTGATATTTTACTAAAAAATTGTTTTATTTAATTTGTTAAAAATTTTTATAATAATATTATTTATTCATTTTTTACGAAAACATGAATCGATGTACACTTTTTCTAATTATAGCAATTATAATAATTATTTATTATATATTATTTTTAAGAGAAGAAACAACTTTTACTAAAATCAAAGATAAACATTATTTTCGTACTAATTATAGTGATTTTAAAGAATTATTTTTGAAAAAATTTCAAAATAAAATCAACGCTATAGTAAAAACTGATTTGAATCAATCAATTAATACAAATATAAATCACAATTTAATATTTAATGGTTCTATCCGTGAATATCCACAACAAATTGTGCCGAATATAATACATTATATATTGTTTACTATACATGAGATACAATTTATACATTTTATATCAATACTATCAGTGCTTAGAAATCATAAGCCAAATATTATTTATATTCACTGTGATTGTCATCAATTGAAAGGTAATTACTATAAGAGGACTTTAAAAGTAGTCAATCGTACCGATACTAAGCTAATTGTTCGCAAAATAAAAAAGCCAACCAAAGTGTTTGGCAGAAAAATTAGCAAAAAATGGTTGAACTGGCACTCGGGGGACATCACCAGAATCAACATATTATTACAGTTTGGAGGCATTTATGTCGATAATGATATCTATGTCGTCAAAAATTTGAATGAGTTTCTCAAATATGAGATGACTTTCGAGTTGGACTYAAGTGTTGGATCACAAGTACTGATCAGTCATAGAAATGCCCGCTTTCTTAAAATATGGTGGAAATCATTTCAAAATTATAACCCTAACAGTTGGTTCTATACGGGTGGGGAACTGCCTGGTAAATTGGCCAGGCAACATTTAGATATTATCAATGTTAAAACACATACATTTGGCACTTGGTCTGAGGTATGTCCCAAATTGTATGCCATGTATTACCCCCAATGGATCCATGAATACTATACCATCCATACATTTATTCGGGGAAACTATTTCTTTCATCATAACTGGTGTATGAAAGGCAAGAAAGTGGATGTTCTTGTCTTTGATGATCAAGTGATCCGTACGCTTAACAACACATTTGGCCAAATGTGTCGCCAAGTGTTTGATTTTGAACAACAATTGATAGCAAATTAAATCTCATTAAATCATTTGCGTCATCATTATAACTATAAACTATTTATGATATTATTTATAACATATGACATAAATACATATATAAATAAAATCAAGTATTTTAATAAATAGGATAAGTCTATTATTTTTTTAACCTAAAACAATAGTATCTAATTTAAAATTAATTTTTAAAAAATTATAATAAAGATCAAACAATAAAAATATCAAATTTATTAAAAACATTATCTATTGCAACAAAAATTATAAACAACATAATTTTTAGCACTTCAGATATACACTGTATATTATACAGTATTATAAATAGCTATAATTATTGTTAATAGTTAAAAAGTGTAATATTGATAATTTACTTAAAATTTACAAAAGTTAATAAATGAAATTAAAATTTAATTATTAATGTTAATTTATATTACGATTTAATGTTATTATTATTTTTAGTTTATAATATCAAATATTTATCAGTCATTTAACATAAATTAAAAATTTCTACAAATTGTTAATAATATAATACTTTACAAAACTTCATATAATATAAAAAGTTTAAATGGATTAACTTATAAAGTTTTATAGAATGTGTTGTAATTAAATGTTTAATATTTTTTTGTATTATTTAAAATTTTAATAATTAAAAAAGAAATTGGATTTATATAATAAAAATTTAGTTTAAGGTATTCAATATCAAAAAATCCTATTATGTTTTAATATATTACTTCCATTCATGTTTATCAATAAACTCAATACTATTAGTAGCAGAATGTAATTCAAACATTGAAATTGTGTTTTTACCCGATTTTAATAACGGCGACGGTATGTATAGTGTTTTTTGTGGACCAATTTCATAATAACGACCCAAATTGAAACCATTTATAAATACATTTCCTTTAACCCAATGATCCAAACGTATGAATGTATCCTTTGGACTGCCATTTATAATAAGTTCTGATCTATAAAATGCTGGACTCTTAAGATTGTCGACAAATGGATTGCCTCTTAAATCATTAATTTGATTAACAAACTGTTCTTTAAACTCAAGAGGATATGTCTGTATATCAGAAATAACTTTTCCGTCAATATTAATGTCGCCATTGAGTCCCTTTCGGGCCCAATTCATCTCTTGTCCGCCATCAGTCCGTCCCGTGTTTTCTACAATTATATCCAAAGTATGTGTCGTTGTATTTGCAAAATCACTGTCTTTTAAGTCCTGATCGTAATCTTTATTACTCACTACAAGACCCACTTGTTTGTGATCAATGAGTATAATTCCTCTATCGGAAACACCTCCTGTGATATAAAAAAACATTATTAATAATAAAATCTTACAAAATTAACTAAAATACCATTTAGTTTTAAATGTTTAAATTTTTGAAGTCCCGTAAGTCTATAATTAATAAATCCATAACTTTGCCCATAATTCTCTCCCAAATTTAATAACTCCATGTGTTGTGGCTTTGATGTTGTGATTGACTTGACTTTACTCAACAAATTGTCTAAACTTAGATAATCTTTGATAATAACTTTGCCGTAACTGGTAGTCAGTTGTGGTTTTGGCGGATCTGGTATCGTGAGCTGTGGATAACCCCTCTCTTTAGTAAATTTTGTGATTAACTCTTTGGTTTTCCAATACATTTCAGTATAATTGCCTAAAATTGATTTGAAAATATTAATTGATTATATAATTTTGATTATTACTTTCAATTTATAAATATAGTAATTAAGTCCATTTTGAATACCTGACTCAGAAAGTGGTCCATTATAGTCATAACTGGTTGTAACACTCGCACCATTAGCACCATTCATAAACCCGAAATTAGTGCCACCAAAAAACATATAGAAATTAAGTGATGAATTGGCGACAAACATAATATCAGTAATTTCTTTTTCAAAATGTTTGATAGGCATCGGTGCCCGGGGAACACCCCATCTATCAAACATTCCCGACCAAAATTCAGTTACAAATAATGGTTTATTTGGTTGCGCTTCACGTAATAGATTCAAAAACTTAAGTGAATCTGAATTAAAATTAACGGTTTCGAGTATTCCTATAAAAACAAATTTCTATATTTATTAATTATAATATAATAGGTATAATAGCAAATACCGGGTAACGCCGTTTTCATAGCCCTGGCCGCACTATCAGCCGGATCACAGTTAAACAACAGTTCCTTAAAACCGGACGATTCAATGGTTGTTCTCAAAAACTGAAAATATTGCCTATCGTTATCATTATGAATGCCATGAAATTCATTCTCAAACTGTAAGGCTATTATAGGACCGCCTTTTGTGAATTGAAAGTCATTAATAATCGACAACACCTTTGTGTACAATCGACCGACTGCTTCAAGATATGGTTTGTAATTTGATCTCAATTTAATGTTGGGATCCCTGATCATCCAGGCGGGAAAGCCACCCATTTCCCATTCGGCACATATATATGGACCGATACGGAACACTACAAACAAGTCATTTTGTTTTGCAGTTTCGAGAAACTCTTTGAGATTTAGAAAACCGGTTTCAAAATCAAACTGTCCGGGTATTTGCTCATGTAGATTCCATGGAACATACGTTTCCACCTAAATTTATGTAAATTTTTTTTATAATTTCAATAATTAATTAATATATATATATAATTAGTACCGCATTAAGACCGGCGGCTCTGAACTTCAATAGCCTATCCTTCCAATAYTGTTGTGGTAACCGAAAGTAATGCAATGAACCGCTAAATAATGTAATTTTCTTGTCATTTAATGTAAAGTCCACTGAATCGGCTCTTAAACCCGATTTGATGCCTCCGCTCGTATAGTACTCGTAATTGGTTTGCAGACCATTGCTGGTCACAACAAAAACAATTACAATTAATGTGATTACGTTATATAAATTCATTAAAGATTTGCTACTTTAAAAAAATTATTATAAAAATAAAATAGTAAAGAGAAAAATAAAATWGTTAATCTAATACTCCTAGCTTTTTATATAAAAATATTTATATTTAATAATACAGGTAATTAATATTAGATCAGTAAAACACTTAATCATRTAAACTTATGTTATGATTCCAACATTCAATTTGTGATTATATTATTTCCACTTATTTATGATTTATAAAATATTTATCTCAAATTTTTTTTGTTAAATATTTTCTCAATAAGTTGTGTTTTATCACAAAATTATTAAATTAATTATTATATTATATATACATAAAATTATTTGTGACTGTATAATGATTTTTAAATTAATATTTATTATCGACTATTTTATTATACATTAGACATTTTTAAATAAAATTCTTAAGATACTAATATAATGGTTAATTTATTGTTATAAATGCTTAATTACATTACTATTATTTAATTTATTAATTATTAAAAATACATAATTATTTAATCACACAAAGTACTAGTACTTTATATCTAATTACTAATATTACTGTATGTATAAACTTACATTTTTTTATTATACGAATACATATAAATAAATTATTGATAAATGGGGTTAAATACTGTGACACCACTTATTAGATATTGTATAATACAATGTATATATTGTGAGATCAAAGTTTATTTTGTTGTTTTACTATTGTTATACTATTTAGTGTAGTATAGTCTTACAAATACTGGAAATTCAATCCAATTGTACTATACATTGAAATTGACAGGTGTTGTGAAAATGCTTGTTTAGTCAAAGATTATTAAATTAATTTCGACTTTGATTTAGTTTAATCTCAGCTTTAAATAACAAATAACACTCAGAAATTTTTAAGATTTTTTATTGATAAATAAATTATCATTTTTGAAAAATAAAATATTTTTCACAGTATTGTGTATATTTTTAGCTATATATTGTTTGGTAATGTAAGATAAACCTTATTATAGGGTACAGTACAGTACATATTATAAATTGATATAAATTATATTAATTAATTTTATTATTATGATATGAACTATTAATGTWTTATAGCATTATAAAATAGTTACTTAAAGTAATTTTGAGATAAAAGTTTAATGGGTTTGTTATTACATTACATTAAATTTAGTTATTTCATTTAAATTTATCGGTATTAAGGTTTTATTTAAAATTAATTATTCCCTTAATTTATAATTTATAATTTAATCATACAAATTACTAAATAAATAAAGTTTATTTTGTTGTTATTAATATTTATTAATTAATACATAGTTAAATAATACTTTAGCTAAATGACAAAAACTAAAAAATTAATAAAATGTAAATTGAATTTGACAGATAGTGGTAAAAATGTTTATTAAAATAATATCAAATCGATTTCAACTTTATTTTATTTTCAATTTTATTTTTTTAAATAATAGTCTGAGATATTTATTTTTAAAGTATAATTGTTATTAAAGTTTATATTCTTAGGTAAAAAATACTTTCTCTAAATATCAGATATTTTAATATTAATATTAATAAAACATATATTTTAATAGTTGTTTAACATATGACTATTTTATACATTAAAACATTTCAATACAGAATTTGTAAAAAAAAATATTATTTATAATTATATATTAGTATCAATATAATGACTATAAATAGTATAGTAATCGTTATAAATTTTATTTTAAGAAATTATGAATTTGAAAATAACATACTGTATAAAGTTTGATATAAAGTGTTTTAAAATTATTTTATGTTCAAAATGTTTTTTAATTAAAATATTTTTTCATTGATTTATCCCAAGTCAGGTGTATCCACAAACTCAATACTATTAGTAGCAGAATGTAATTCAAACATTGAAATTGTGTTTTTACCCGATTTTAATAACGGTGACGGTATGTATAGTGTTTTTTGTGGACCAATTTCATAATAACGACCCAAATTGAAACCATTTATAAATACATTTCCTTTAACCCAATGATCCAAACGTATGAATGTATCCTTTGGACTGCCATTTATAATAAGTTCTGTTCTATAAAATGCTGGACTCTTAAGATTATCGACAAATGGATTGCCTTTTAAATCATTAATTTGATTAACAAACTGTTCTTTAAACTCAAGAGGATATGTCTGTATATCAGAAATAACTTTTCCGTCAATATTAATGTCGCCATTGAGTCCCTTTCGGGCCCAATTCATCTCTTGTCCACCATTTACTCGACCCATGTTTTCAACAATTATGTCTAAAACATGAGTCGTTGTATTTGCAAAATCACTGTCTTTTAAGTCCTGATCATAATCTTTATTACTCTCTACGAGACCCACTTGTTTGTGATCAATGAGTATAACTCCTCTATCGGAAACACCTCCTGTGATATTTTTAAAAAATATTAATACTAAAATTTTTACCAAATATCAAAATTAACTAAAATACCATTTAGTTTTAAATGTTTAAATTTTTGAAGTCCCGTAAGTCTATAATTAATAAATCCATAACTTTGTCCATAATTTGCTCCCAAATTTAATAACTCCATGTATTGTGGCTTTGATGTTGTAATTGACTTGACTTTACTCAACAAATTGTCTAAACTTAGATAATCTTTGATAATAACTTTGCCGTAACTGGTAGTCAATTCTGGTTTTGGTGGCTCTGGTATCCTGAGCTGTGGATAACCTCTTTCTTTAGTAAATTTTGTGGTTAACTCTTTAGTTTTCCAATATTTGTCCGTATAATTGCCTAAAATTAATTAAAATGTTAATAAATGATATATTAATTTATTAACATTGTATACCTGTCTCTGAAAGTGGAGCGTTATAGTCATAACTGGTAACAACTCGGCCCCCATTCATAAACCCGAAGTTAGTGCCACCAAAAAACATATAGAAATTAATTGAAGAGTTGGCCACAAACATAACATCAGTGACTTCTTTGGTAAAGTGTTCAATAGACATCAAATGGTGAGACTTATCGCCCCAATTATCAAACCACCCTGGCCAAAATTCAGATACATACAGGGGCTTATTAGGCTGAGCTTGACGTAATGCAGTTAAATATTTAAGAGAATCCGAGTTAAAGTTATCGGTCTCTAATATTCCTATATTATAACAACAAATTATATTAATTGTAATAAACATTATTAATTGTTATCACTAACCTGGCAAAGCAGTCTTTATAGCACTGGCCGCATTATATCCCGGATCACAATTAAATAATAGTTCCTTAAAGCCATGACTTTCAATGGTTGTCCTCATAAACTGAAAGTATTGTTTATCATTATCGTTATGAATGCCTCCAAATTCATTCTCAAATTGAAGAGATATTATAGGACCGCCTTTTGTGAACTGAAATTCATCGATAATTGACAGGACTTTTATGTAGAATTTGCCGACAGCGTCGAGATATGGCTTATAGTTTGACCGAAACTTTATGTTGGGGTCTCTGAGCATCCACGGCGGGTAACCACCCATTTCCCATTCGGCACATATATATGGACCGATACGAAACACTACAAACAAGTCGGTATCTTTCGCTGCTTTTAAAAACTCTTTTAGATTTAGAAAACCAGTTTCAAAATCAAACTGTCCGGGTGTCTGCTCGTGTAGATTCCATGGAACGTATGTTTGTACCTAAAGTTTAAAAAAATACATGAATTAAACATATATTATACTATTATCAAGTATAAAGTCATTACCGCATTAAGACCGGCGGCTCTGAACTTCAATAGCCTGTCCTTCCAGTATTGTTGTGGTAACCGAAAGTAATGCAATGAACCGCTAAATAATGCAATTTTTTTGCCATTTAATGTAAAGTCCACTGAATCGGCTCTTAAACCCGATTTAATGCCTCCACTCGTATAGTACTCGTAATTGGTTTGCAGACCACTACCGGTCACCACAAACACAATTAGCACTAAAACTATTATATTATAAAATCCCATAATTTTTATTAATTTTAATAAATGTCACTATAAGTAACATTAATAAAAATAAAAATTTTCTATTTAGCACTTTATATAACACTTAAAGTTTATATATTATTTAAATAATACACTATTGATATGTCATTAAAGAAAGATAACAATTAATTTAATATATAACTCATTAACTTATTTAGTAAAATATAAATATATGTACTTTAAAAGCATATATTTTAAACCAAAACACTTCTAAACTTTTGTGATTAAAAGATTTCCATTTATTTTTGCTATTATATTCACACACTTATCAAAAGATAAATATTTGATGTTTAATTTTGCTGATAAAACAACTAATTTTTAACACAAACAAAACAATTAAATAATTGTTATATACTCTTATTTTTATAATTATTTTAGAAGTATTTCAAATGAATTATAATTTTATAATTTAGAATTGAATTTTATTATTAATTTAAACTATAATAATGGATACTAACAAATATTTTGTAAATTAATAAATAACTTGTACTATATTAGTCACTATATCAAATAGTATGATTAGCAAGGTCATTAATAATATCTAAAGAATATTTTAATATTTTTTATTTAAGATAAATTTTAACTGTTTATATAATTTATAACATTTATAAGTAAACTAATTATTATAATATAACTTTTTATTATTTATTCTACAGTTTAGATAATTTTATTATCAATAACATTTAATATCATTGTTAAAAGTTATCTCAAATATTTTTATATAATAAATATATATATGTAAATTTAATTATTCAATTTTATGCAGTTATATTCAATTATAATTAATTATACAGTACTTATAAGTYTACTTATACATGCAAAACAGTAATATTATACAGTATTTAATAAAATATTCATATTTTTAAAACTAATCTTTAACTAATGTACAGTAATTTAGTTTTCAATAACTAATTTTCCCAAATAGTCGTTAATAAAAGATCCGATATAAAGTATACTTTGTTTGCCACTGTTTATCCGTATTTCTCTGACTTCTGTCAATTTAGTTAACGACGAATCCGGTGCTTGAAGTGTACGAATGATATCTCCGTTGCCATCAATCTCGACAATCATACCGTAGTTTAGCGTCTCATCAAACCAAATGTGATGAATGGGAATATCATTGTTTATATAAGCGGCTAAATCGTGAAACCATTTGTTGTCAAAAAAATCACCAAAAAAATTAAAGATTCTGTTGGCAATTGTCAACAATTGAGTCAATTGGCGCCTAAAGTCACGATCTCGAAGAAAAAGATCTAAAGTACTTGGATTCTCCTCAGTTCTCGCCGATAACAGTGCCAACCAATAGGTTTCTTTGTCTTTGTTATCGCTTCGTCTGATATTATCGGGTTCTCCCGGTAGTCCACTCAATAATATTTTTGACTCTCCTTTTTTTGGACCTTTAATATAATGTTTGATGACTTGTCGGGCGCCAAACTCATTGATCAAAATGGCTGTCCTGTCGTCAGTGATTTCCATACCGTTAGGAAAGAATAGATTTTGGACCACAGATTCAACTTTCTTTGCATTTACATCATAGCTGACCACTCGTCCCAAATCGGAAGTCATGATAGTCCAGACAAAATTATGTAAATAAAATTTTTGACTCACATCTGACACATACAGCACATGTCCACCACTAGCACCCGCCCCCTCATCTATGGTCAAGTCATCCAAAAAAGTTGATACTTTACCTAAAGAGCGAGTTTCTTCAATGTCAAACACGAGTGTCACTTTAGGATTGTCTTTAAATATATTTTCAATTGCAAAGACTCCCAAATAGGGTTCAACTACATAGAGAACGCCTTTTGAATCAAATTTCATACCCAGTGGTCGACTACACCGTATGTTCTCTTTGGGTTGAATTTCATGACAACTTTGTTCTGCAATTTTCAAGATAGGTTTGAGTAGATCATCATTGATCTCATAGATATACCCATCCATAGCACTGGCAACTATACGACCGTTAAAAATTGCCAATGACTCGGGTCCAGTAATATTGTGATTATGTAACTTAAGAGTTTGCGACAACTTTTTGTTGGCCTCATAGACACCGCTAAAAGATTTGGGCAAAGGATAGACATTATCTTTGATTTGTATATCTAATAATCCTTTCTTATTGATTGGCAAACTATGAACAATAATAACAGATAAACATAAAACTATAATTAATTTCATTAACATTTTGTTAAAATTATTTTCTACTAGAAATTCATTTAAAACTTACAAAAMTATCTAATACAGTACTTATTACTTAACAGTATCTAATAATTCAACAAAATATAGTATAAAATACATAATTTTATAATAATTTTATATTTTCTAAATATTGATATGAATATTGATATTAATATTTAAACTCAGATTAAATTAAAGTAAACAAAATACTGTATATTAAATATATAAACGATTATAAAATTATAAATTAGATAAACTTATTTCATATAATTATTTAAAGCATAAATGATCTTTATTGAGAAAATACTAATATTAATATAAATAATGTACTGTATATACTGTAGTATTGTATAAGACAATAAATATTTGAAACATTATGTTAAATCATAAATAACTTATTGAACCAAATTTTAGCGTAAAAATAGACACCAATTTTGATCTCTTTTATCAAATTACCGGTAAATGTTTTTATCATTAATTTTCATAATTCTTGAAACATAAAAGATACATAAATTTATTAATACTACTAATTATTTTAAACATTTGAGATAAATCTATGATAAAACAGTAAACATTAAAATAGTATTATATATAATAATATAAATTAACTGAAATAGTTACCTGAATATGTTAAATTTAATAAAAATTCAGGAAAATTTTTGTTTTTATTAATTACTATAATGTTTATGATATATTGTATATTATTTTATAGAAATTACAACTATTATACAAGTATTTAGGTAAAAGCAATTATATAATGAATACAGTATTAATTCAAATTAATTGTAACAAATGCTTACTTTAAATTACTCTATTAATACAATATAGAAAATATTTTATATGACACCCACACAAACTAAAGACAGCAAACAAATTATTCAACGTTTTGAACTAAAATTAAAAATAAAACATTATTATAATTTAAATTRTTTTTCAGATAATAATAATTACGATAAAATAAAAAAAAGTAAATGATATTTTTGTTGAATTGTTCATCAAAAAAATTTACAATTTTAATGCTAAGATTATACAATTACAGTATTTATTTAATTTCTTTTATTTTAAACAATGAAAAGCCTAAGTTTTAATTACATAATTTTCAATTTAAAATACACAATTATTTTTGAATTTTTTAAAAGTTGATTGATTATTTCAAATTAGAGATAATTATATGAAAATAAGTTAGCAGCAGTTAATTATTATTTAATCAAATAAAATGATTAAATAATAACAGTTGATAATTTTAATAATTACTATATAAATATATATATATATTTTCTATATATATAAATAATTTCAAATGTTTTATAAACTAAAAATAAAATATTAAACAAAATTTTAAAAATGTTGATCAAAAGTAATAAATATTGTAACATATATATAGGTACTATTAAATTATCTCTTAATTTGTATAATGCAATTAAAAATCAATTTTTCAAATGTGTCGCCAAATTTAAATATAATAACTACTCTTACAATTTATTTAATAATAACATAATATATAGTTATGAATCGTTTGGTGGTTAAGATTTTTTCTGTGGTTTCTCCTGACGGAACAGTATTTTTCTGGTTTTCACTTGTGACCACATGTGTCGCTTCCAATACCAGACCATCAAAGTCAATGGTAATAATATGAGAAGCGCCTAAAGATATATCAAATTAATACATAACTAATTAGTGATTCTGTTTTAAAATGTTGTCTATCTATCAGTTAAATTGATTGTATGAATGTGTAAATCAATACTTACATCGATTGACATTTTCTTTCTCTGGTCGTGTTCCGGCTGTGCGGCCCAACTCAAGAAAGTCACCACATCTTTGGCCATTTGTGATTGTGTGGCCGGAGTGCCGTCTGAGTACTCAATGGCTTCGTTATAAAGTGCCTGAGCCATAGCCGTCTGTCCACCACCGCTGGCAAAGTATGGATTAAAATGCATGCCATCAGACATCTGTACGCCGGCCGGTGCATCACAATAGCCGGTCAAAAGTGAAAATATGTAATCCTCGTTGCCGTGTCGGGCCAGTACAATGAGACTAAGGTCGGGTGGCAGTGCTCCGTTATTGGCCAATCGGGCCGTCTCCTCGTTCGCGTATGGGTTCGGGAAGTGATCAAACAGTTTGCCTTCTCGTAAAAACATCTTGCCGTCATCTCCGGGTCCGTCCAATACTTGAATTTCTGCGGCTTCAGCTTTGGCTTCGGCTTCCGTGTGCGAGACACCGACCAGCTCTCTATAGGCCACAAACTTCATGCCGTGACACGCGGCACACACTTGTTTGTAAACCTCATAACCGCGACGAATGGCCGAGTGATCCAAGCTCTTGATAAAGCCATTGTGTGGCCACGGATATGATGGCGGGTGTAACTCGAGGTCAGACGCCTTTACCGACTCGTTTAGCACATAATACAGACCAATGGATGCGCCGCCCAATACACCACTGGTTGCTACTAACTGTTTAAACATGCGATTCAATAAATGGTCATTAATTTACCGATCGGTAGATTAGATATAATAAATGAAAATGTAACCAAAACAATCAAATCAAGTAAAACTAACCAAGCTAACCTAACAAACAAACAAACATAACTAACCTTGCTCAATATTCCACTATAACGTGACGTATGTTTAATAAATCGGTTCATTATATAAACGCAAATATATTTATATATAATAACAATCAATGACTCAATTGTTTTACATATAATTAATGTCAATAAAAGTCATCAATTGTTTTGCTGACCAAAACAACAGTCAATTTCAATGAATATATTTTATACCAAAATATCACACTTTCTATGTGTAAACCAATCTTATTGATCATAAATTACGTCTACTATATTGTAGTCCCCGTTATAATTAATAATAACAGTTTACAGTAATATAATTATTTGCATTTTAATGTTATATAATTATATTTCTGACATATTTTATGTATTCAATGTATATTTTTATAATGTGTATAATTAACATGTATTTATATTACAAATTTAAAATCTATTGTATATATTATAAACAATTATTAATATACTATTATATACCAAACAATTGATAAATTATTTAAAATTAGATTTTATAAAACAATTGTTTTTAGTTTTATGCTATTAATTGAAACTAATTGATGAAAATTAATGTAAACCGGCTAAGAATTGTTGTCCATATAAGTAGTATAACCTGTATATAACACCTATAGTGCCCTCTATTAGTGCTATTGTTTTATTGTCCTTCGAGTCCTTCAATAATACACTACAAGTTAGTTATAGAAACTGTTTAAATTTAATTTTATAATTATATACAATTTAAAAGCAATTAATATAAGTTAGGATTTATATATAATGCAGTATTTGTTACATTAATATTATATATTAAAATTATTTAAAAGTTTAATTATTTAAAACAATGATTTGAAAACAATTAATATTATTGAGTTTTGATTGTATTTCTACAATGTGTTGTWTACACTGTATAGTATAGTCAGTTGTGTACTGTAGTACTAAACGCCATATTATGGCACACATTATACTACAGTGTTATTGACTGACTGTATGTGTTGTGTATGAGAGAGATATCCGTGTATTTCAGTGACTGTATTGTCAGTCAAACACATAAAACATCAACACTTAAGACAAATAATTGTCAAAACTTTTTGTGTTTCGTAAACGTTGTGTTACTTTGAAATTAATTGTTATTTTGTTTTAAATTTAATAGTATTTTATTTAAATGACTTAAATTAATATTATTATTGTCAAAATATTGTGTGTATTTTAAGCTATATGTTATATATTTGTGTTTTATTTAATTATTATTAATAATAAAATAATATAAAGTTGTTTTGTTTTTTTTGTTAATATCATTAATAATAAAAAGTTTATATCAACGAAATATTGAACTGAAATTAATAAATTGTTAACAATTAAACATTTTTGTTAAGGTATATATCATATCATATATATTTAATTGAATTTTGAATTTATAATTATCAGTCATTAATAGTATTATTGTATTCAAATATGTGTACATATATAGTAAATACTGTATACATATATAGAAATAATTTAGGTTAATATTAATAGTAAAAAATGATAGCAAAAAAGTAAACCGACGATTAAATATATATTTTTTTAAACTTCAAAATCAATCATTTATTTATGACATTTCATTTGATCGCTTAATACTATTGTATTATTATTATTATTATATGAAATATGAGTGTCTAAAGTAAACATCAGACATTGATTTTGTTTATTATTTTTGTTGTATTTAATATTTATTTTATTTTGTGTGAGAAAAATGATTTCCATATTATATCAGTGAGAATACATGTCATGCTATGGCCTCCCTATCCCTCTCTATAATATCTTATACTTTATTATTAGTACATTGAGTATCGTATATACTGTATATAAACTGTATTAATAGGTTATACACTTTTTAAACACTTGTTTTATGTCTGGTGACCAATATATTAGAGATAAGTATACTTAAAGATAGTTTGATAGTTATAATGGTTTAAATCGGTCGGCAATCGGGTGTAAAAATTGGATACTTATAGTAGTGATTACACATATTTTTATTATTATAGTTATATATATTGTATATCTTATGAGTCATTTAAATAACCATAAAAAGTATCATTTTTTTGTAAAATTATTTTTACCTAATCATATACATTGTATGTTAATTTATAAATACAGTACATATTTTATAATATATAAACAAATATTGTGCAATAATAGCGATTATCTCAATCATTATTGTCAAACAAAAAAAAAGTTTATTACTGTTTGCGATATGACTATCAATTTATTGGACACCTGATTAAAAACCAAACAAATTCATTGAATGTATTGAAACTACAATTGCTTAGTAATCAATAAAATATCTGATATAACATTGTAAGGCCTATCAAACAATAATAACTGTCAAACATGTCATAAACATTTTAATATATTATTTTTTGTTGAAAATATATATATATATATATATATGATATAAAATAAATAAATAATAGATTAACCAAACTATCCGAAGTGGTGACTGACCTGTAATGCAGTCATTAATGCTCGGATGTACACCAAAAGCTAGCTCTGACTCTACCAATGAGTTAGTATTGTGTTATACAATAGATATTAAGTTTTTGGTACAAATTATTTAATTTTAATATATCCTATAAAATACAGTTCATTACTTTTATTAAATGATATTTACATATAGTTTACTCAAATTAGTGCAAAACAATTGTGTTTATTGTTTTTGTATTACAATTTTTATCACATTTCGACAAAAGTTTGGAGTATTTGCTATTTTTCGACAAAACAATTAATATTTATAATTATATTATACGATAAAATTAGATAACTTTATAAGCGATGCCATTGGTTGAGCTGCGAGGCCTGTCGGCACTCGAGGCCTGGACCAGGAAAGCCACCAACGGCTACAAAGATGTCAAAGTGCACGACCTGAGCACCTCCTGGCGCGATGGTCTGGCCTTCTGTGCACTCATTCATCACTTCAGACCTGATCTCATGTAAGCCTTGCGGAAGAGTTTTTAGAAAATTATTATTTTTGTTTATTTGATTCAAAATAGTTGTTATAATAATTTATTTATTAAACATTTTCTATTTTATTATTTATTATTATAAAATTGCAATAAATTAATCCATAAATATTTTACAGTGATTTTGATAGTCTATCGAAAGAAAACATCTTATATAACAATCGTTTAGTAAGTATTAATAGAAAATATTATTATTAATATTATCATCAATTTTGATTATTTTTTGATGATATTAAATGTTTATTTAAATATATATATACTATGATATCAAATAGGCTTTTCAAATTGCGGAGAAGCATTTGGGTGTACCGGCGCTTCTGGACGCCGAAGACATGTTCAAACACGAGGAACCGGACCGGCTATCAGTGGCCACATATTTGTCCCAATTCTACGAGTGCTTCGAGGGCTCGAAGAGTGGCCGAAAACGTTAGTTTGTATTTACTCTTCAATAGCTACTACTACTACCACTACTACTGCTGCTACTACTGCCTACTCTATCAATGATTAATAAATAATTAATAATAATCAACAAATTTTTAACAACTTGTTATAGTAATAATAATTATTATTACAGTATTATAAGCATCATTAACGCATCTAATGTCAATATTATTGATATTTTGTATATTATATTAAAGTTATATATAATTTACTATCAATTAATAGTAAATACTATAACATTTGATGAATTTAAGTTTTGAAATGAAATGTTTCAATATTACTTTATTTAAATATTGATTATCCATTAAAAATTGAGGTTTTATTTTGTGTCTTAAAGTACACACTAATACTAAAATCTAATTGATATTTAAGTAATGATTATTATTATTAATTTGAAATATTTTTAATGAAAGTTTATTTATATTATGTTATTATTATTATTTTAATTATTACGACAAATATTATTTTTAATAATATTATATATTTTAGTCTACAATTTTTGAATTATTTTGAAATACTTTGAGTCACATATTATTATTATATTTTAAATCTTAAGTCATTTGAAATTTTGAGCAAAATATTTGTCAACAATTTTTTATTTTATTTTTGCTCAATATTTACATTTTGATTTTAAAATCATAAATATTATTTTTATCATAAAAATTAAATGAATTATGGATTTAATCTCATTTTAAAATACAACATATGCAATTTATTGATGTATTATAATTTTTACTTATTTTTAAAATTATACCAAATATTTTATAATAATTTTTTAAAAATCTAATTATATTATGCATTTATTTTTGATAATTTAAATTTTTGTATTTAATATTAAAAATTGAAATAGCTTTATATAATTATAAATTTATATACATATATATACTTAAGCCTTTAATAAAATTAAATATGTTTTATAAAACTTTAAAAATTTGTGTCAAAAAATTTATTTTATAAACATTTTTATAAATTTTAATTTTATTTTCTCTATAGACTCGATAACTACTAACTCTTCGAGTGCTTTGGTCTCAAAAAAGGATAACTCTTTCTTGACTAACATTAACTGTAAAACTACTGCTATTACTACAGCAAATACTACCACTATTACTGGTCCTACCGGTGCCCAAACCGATAATAATAGTATTAATAGTAATGATGGAGGAGTCGATTCATGTAATATTAGCGCCACAATTACACCAATAGCTAATCGTCCCGTACCACCAGTAAGTATTGTATGACATTATAATATATACTTAAATATTAAAACTACAATTTAATTGTTTAATGATTATATGTTTAGAGTATTATTTAATTTGTTAATAACAATAATTATAAATACAGTGTATATAAATAAATATAAGATACTGTATATAGTATATGCCTTCAATATATACAGTAGTATATCCACTAAATTATTTCAAATGACTGAACACAACTATTGAATTGTAATTTAGTTTTAGTTTAAACTTTTTTAGTTATATTTTCAAGTAATAAGTCATTATTCTGATCACTGATAAGCACGACATTCACATCTAAACCCATTTGACAGAAACATTATTATTATTTAAGATAATAACTACTATACTATTGTACCAAACATTTAGTAAATCTATATCTTTTTATCTTCTCATAAAACTATTATTTTTATTAAACTATTTAAATACATGTATAGATTCATCTAACTATCTATAAATATAAATTAGTTTTTAAAAAATGTTTTATACATGAAAAAATAGTATTGAATTTAGCAATTGATTAAATATGGGAAACTCAAAATTAAAAAACAAATAAACGCTTTTAGAAAGATGTCATAAAAATTGTTTTAAACTTTTTCAAAGTCAAGTGATGGATAACTGAGTAAAAAACAGGTTAATAGTCATTGCAGTCTCATTACAGTCATTCAAATTCATTGACTATTAAGTCCTTCTCCTAATGGGAACTGACGACCCACTGCTGTGGCCATTGAGAGAGAGAGAGAGAGAGAGAGAGAGAGAGACCAAAAGCATCGGTATATTTATAATAAAGGGAAACAGGATTTTAATATAAATACTTATTTTATATTTCTATTAGTTATAAAATACTACTTCTATTTTGATGTTTTTATTTTGATTTTTATTACATTTAATAAAATCTCCATTTGTTAATAAATAAATTTTTTAGCGAAACGTTAGGTTTGCGCTGACATTTAATTCAAAATTAATTAATTAAATTTTCTCTCAAATGGGATTTGAACTTTCCAATGATGCCCTTAAACTTAAAATTATTATTAGATTTATAAGATAATATATATAGTCCAACGGATAATAATTTAATAAATAATTAAATGATAATATTATTATTACTTATTATCTGTTTAATGTACTATTTTCTCTTAATATATTGTATATAAAAGTGTTACCTTAATATGACAGTTAATATTAATAAATATATTTTTAAAAATAATATAATAAATATCTAAGTAAATTTGCATATATATAGTAAGCATTAAATTGTAGTAGAAAATAGACACAAATTTTAGTAAATGATATAAAATTGTCAGTTTTGATAATTTTGTATAAATGTAAAAAAATATATGTCATGTACTAATTATTTTTATTTTACGTTATCGTATCACTGCATACATAGAAACGTGATATAAAATGTCACAAATGTCGTACTCGTGTATCAGTATTGGATCGACTGATAGTCGATGATAATTGTTATCACAAGTCATGTTATGAGGACAATACCATCGAAGGTAACGCCGCCGGCAATGAAAAAAATTTGGATGACACAGACAGTAACGACTCCCACACAAAATCTATAGCACCAACACATAAAACTAACGACGCTTTAAATACATTGTTAACAGATAAGACTGATAACGATAATAATAATGAGATTATATATGTAAATGATATTAATTTAGATGTAAATACTGTTAGACGAGATGAAAATGAATCGCCAGTTACTCTTAGAAATACTGGCCGTATATCTGAGGTATCGGTGGATAGTATAAGTAGTTTTATGAAAACTAGTGATTGTCATAACAGTGATAATAACAAAAGTGATGAAAAAGATAGACCAATAAGTGCTAATTCCGGTGATATTTTAATTAAAAGTTTAAAAGAAACGATTATGGATTTAGATAACGATGTCATTGATAGCGCTAAGATTGACGCCGTATTTGATGAAGTGTTTGGTGAAGATATTAAATCTAAAGAAGACATTGAAAAGAGTCGATTAGTTGAACCAAAGAATAGATCTTTTGTAGACTATAAAGATATAGATAAAGTGACCACTGATGAGGACATATATCCCGACGATAAGAATCCTTTTGATGATGAAGAATGTAATGACATCGAGGATGTGATAGTTGATAAAAGTGGTATTAAAGGCTCGCAAAATAATAACAAAGAGAATGAATATCCTGACGACAAGAACCCGTTTGGTGATGACGACGATGAAGACAATGATAAAGTGACCATCTCTAAAGGCAACGGCAATAAAGTCGCTATTAAACTAAGAAGTTCTTCGGATGCATTAAATCCTTTTGCTGAAGACGAAGACAATGAAGATCTGGAAGATGCCTCTAATGTGACGCCGAAACCAAGACCTAGAAAATCTCTATTTATTTCATCTCCGACTAATACGGCTACTTCATCGCCTACTTCTAGCCTTAAGTCACGTAAAAAACGACCGGCGCCTACACCACCAGTGACTGCTTCCAATCAAACTACCGATACTATACCCCAAGTTAGCAGTACATGTAGTCTTAGTACATACGGTGACGACAGTTTCAGTAGTCGTAGAGATAGTCTCGCATCCATTATTTCATCGGAGTTGACTACAGCTTCCATAACATCTTCAGTACCAAACTCGCGTACACCGACACCACTTCCGAGAAAAAACGTACAGAGATCTGGTGATGAACTCTCTGATGGTGATAACCAATCTGATAAAAACAAAACTACTTCACCATTAAAAAATAATGAAAGTACTGGTAGTTTGAGAGGTTTAAAGAAACGACCGGCGCCTCCAATTCCTGCCATTAAGCGTATGATTAAAGGATCACTGACTGAGATTGAAGACGAACTTAATAGCATTGGCGACAAACTACCAGTGATTGAGAAGAAGACTCAAGAGTTGGAACAAATATTAATCTCACGTATGGGGACAACAGTGGGCGGTGAGACGCCTCCTATCGCACCCAAAGACGATCCTGTATTAAATGAGTTCTTAGCGACGGCTCGAGAGCGATGTCGGTTAGCCAGACGTCAGAAAGAATTGATGTATATGTAAGTCATTGTTATTGGATATAGTCTTCAGTACTTGTCTTAAATAATGATAATAATTGACAATTTTATTATTATTTTCTTTAGGAAAAGGGAACATAAATTAGAGGAAATACAGGCAGACATTGAATATCAAATGCGTTGTGTTATATCAAAACAATGTATATTATTATTATACGCTAATTATTATTAAAATCAATTTGAATTAATATTATTTGTTTGGTTAACAGCCGCTCAAAAAACAGACGAAGATCTTAAACGCGAAGAAGAGTTGCTTCAGAGGTTAATGGAAATCATTGAAGAGCGCAATGATATCGTCGAGAATATGATTAAAGATGAGAATAAGTAAGATTTGTGTTTAGTTGTGATAATAAAATAAAATATTAAAAGATAATTATGACCATTATTTTTATAATATTAACAGAGAGGTCGAAGAATATCAAAAACTGGTCTCAAAAGTGTTGCCATCAAAACCAGATTTAATGCCAAAGCCTAAGCCATCAGCTTATGGTTCGCATTCAACTACAGATCAGTCGTTTTCGGGAAAACTGTCAAAAGAAGAACATTACGTCAAATTGAAGAATAAACTAAAGCTTAAAGATATTAAAGAGAAGAAACGCCAGAAGAAGTTGGAAAAATTGGAAAAAAGTGCACAAAAATCAGATAAAAGTGACGACAAAGTGGAAGATATGAATAAAACTACCGATAAATCATCGACAAAACATATGACACTTAAGTCAACACTTAAACCACTTAAAAAGTTTAGTTTGAARTCATTGACCGGCGATAAAGTGGACAAAAAGACAGACAAACAAACCAATGGCCAGAAATCCGATAATATAACAGTTGAGACTCAATAAAATAAAAACTAAAGGTTCTGATAATTGCAACGAAAAACTTTTAAAAAAAGTGCCTAAAAAAGTATTGAAATTTTGTATTTTTGAGTATTGTTTGTATAGTAAATAATTTATGTCACGTTTTTGAAACCCTTTATTTTCCTATTAAATTCATTTGAAATGAATCTAATGTTTTAAATAAACTTTAAAATAAATTATTGATATTTTAATATAATTACAGCACATTTTTAATTCATATTAACGTTTATAAATAATTACCACAATTATTGTCATCAAAACATTAGTGACAATTACAATGTTCTATTTTACTATACATTAGTTAGAAATGATTAGAGATTATAAGTAAAATAATTATTTATAATTCAAAAATTAATATAATATAGTCTTTTATAAAAGATATTTGTTAACTATATAGTAAAGTATTATTTATATTATATTTTTTATCACTAATTAGATAATTAGGACTTTTGGTACGTTTTTTAATGTAATTTATAAACAGATCTTTAAAAAAAACTATTTAAACATAAGTTTTTCTACATTTTATCAAAATTTAATTTATTTTTAAGTTTTCACGTATTTTTATTGTAATTAAAGTTTAAATTTATTTTTATACTTATAATATTTGTAAACATCAATCTTTAAAATTGTAAAAAYTTTCAAATATGTATTTAATAATATTTCTAATAATAATAACATTATTTTTGTTGTAAGTTATTATAAATTTATTACAAATATGATTCAATTAATTTAGATATAACTTAATGTAATAAATTTTGTTATTAGATATACCAGATATTGGTTCACTTACTGGATCAGACATGGTGTGCCCGGTGCCAGTCGGGTAATTAGGATTGAGGCATATTTTGAGTCAATTCTAGATTTTTTCCAACGGTATCACCGACGATATGGCCGCATATATGGCGGCTATTTTTTTCTTCAGAAATATTTGGTGGTCAACGAACCGGAATTGGTTCGCGATATTATGGCCAAAGATTTTCACATATTTCCCGATCACTATCACATGGCTTTAGGAAACACCAGATTAAATATGACACTGTTCTTCATGCACGGCGGCGATGACTGGAAACGGGTGCGCTCTGTCATCACTCCCGCATTCACGTCGGGAAAGTTGAAGACAATGATGGGAAACATATCGGATATTTGCGACACATTTGTGACAACTATATCCAAATATTCAAACACCGGTATGTCTTTACACTATTAACTAATCATTAAATTTATTGTTTAATAAATAATCAKTTTATGTAAGAAAAGTCGTTTGTATCTGAAAAAACATATGGATTTATACTGTATTTCTMAAAAATTTTAGGTCAAACTGTAGATATGCGTAAATATTTCGGCGGTTTTGCAATGGATGTAATCGGTGCGTGTGCTTATGGTGTTACAGTGGACGCCATCAACAATCCGGATCATCCGATTGTAGTGAACGCCAAAAAGATATTCTCGGAGAACTCCAGTTGGAGTAACGCTGTGTCCGTATTATGTCCACCATTGGCCCGATTTCTTAATCTGGAACCCTTCCAACCGGAAGGCATACTATATTTTGAAAGGTTGGCTGAAAAAATTATTGCCGAAAGAAAAGCGGAAAATAAAAATGGGAAATGTATGTAAAGTTTTATAAGTTATTTATTGATAAGAAAATATTTTTCTCTCTAAATYAGCGATTAAACGAATGGATTTCATACAACTAATGATCGACAGCGAGACCACTGATAATCCAAACTCTGATTATAGTTATAATAAAAATGATAACAACATTAACTCAATTCATACAACTAATGACAATACAACTAAACTAACGACGAGTTGGTGGTTAACAAAGGATGAAATGATAGCACAGGGCATCACCTTTTTTATTGCCGCTTACGATACTACCAGTGCCTCATTGACACATTGTATATACTATTTAGCAAAATATAACGATTGTCAGGAAAAACTATATGAAGAACTTAGAGGTCTTAAATCGGATGAATACACGTTTGAACGGCTCAGTGAACTCCGGTATTTGAACGCCTGTATCGATGAGACACTTAGAATAGCACCTCCTTTGGCTAACTTTCAACGAGAATGTAATCAAGACTACAAACTGGGAAATACAGGTCAGAGACTGAAAGATTGGGAAAAACATATTCAGTATTAAGTTTTAATTTAAATTTAAAATATACCGTAAATTATTTTATTAATATTTACATTATTGCATAGGAATTACAATACCTGCGGGAACTACAGTTGAAATACAACCGCTTACTATTCATAGAGATCCGGATTTTTTCTACGATCCAGATGAGTACATACCGGAGCGATTTCTGAACCCAACCCATCCTAGTAATGCTTATATGCCATTTGGTGGCGGACCCCGAGCTTGTCTGGGAAATAGGTTTGCCTTAAACGAGATGCGGATGTGTATCGCAAAGTTGATCAGCAAATATGAATTCACACTCACACCAGAATTTAAGGTATGACTGACAATGAATATATTGAAAAATTATTTTTTAAATTTTAAAACAGATTGACTACTATTTGGGAAACATATTGTTTACACCTAAAGAAGTTTTAGTGAAAATCAATAGTCGTATATAAAATTAATGTTTTTTAAATTAAAATGCTATTAAATATAGACTGAAATAAAATATAAAAGTACAGTATTTACAGATAATTTGACTTTTGTATAAAAATTAAAAAATAATTATTAGTAAATTAATTAATTGAGAAAGTGATATAATGAACAAAAAAAGGAACAATATAATTTATATTAAAACCTAAACTAAAGTTATTATTATTATTATTATTATTTTAAATAAAAATAAAATTTAAAATATAGATTACTTAAAACTATTATCAATAGTACAGTTAGTGCTGAAAATTTCAAGTAATACTGTATACAGTACAGTATAGTACAGTATTATCATATTGTTAATTAATGCAATACTTATTACAGTATTTTTGTAGAATTTATAAAATTTGAATTATTTTCATACTTTATTAGTAAAACCCAAACACATTAAATTTCTATTGGAATTTCTATTGACTTATTAATATTTTTAGATAAATTTATTTTTATTAGTTATAATTATTACTTGTTATCAGAGTTTGGGAAAATTCTTCCATTATTTTATTTTATACAAAGTTTTATATAAATTTGAATTAATTTTACGGTAAGACTGATGTAGAATATGAATAAATGAAAATAAATTTTTATTAGTATTACTGTATCTTATTTTATCAATCATTCAATAATAAATCTCATAATAATTGAATTATTTCTGACAAATGAAAAATTGATAATATTTTTGTCAAATGAATATATATTTAAAAAAATAACACAAAGTTTTTAATATAACATATATATATATATATACTAAAGTCTATAGATATCCATTTATTTGGTAACAAAGCCGACAATTGTTGAGCAAAAAGTCGCCCTATTGTCCGCTTGTTTTACTCGACTTTGTCCGTCAACGGTCACCATAGTGTCGGCCGCTTTAGTATTTAAGTTATAAATGTATATATCTTTAGACGATTTCTCAATGGATAGCATATTGTCCTGACAGTGCTCTGATTGCAGACATCCCTGATCGTAGTTTTGGAAAAAGTTGTATAGACCGGCCCCATAGATAAACACACTCTCGGAATTTACAATACGGAGACCCCATGCCATAGGACAAGTCACTGAACCTTTGGGACATTTACTATAATCAGGATCTGACCATTTGGCTAATGGATGGAAAGGTTCGGGTGCCGGTGGGTACGCCTGATAATAGGGTGTCTCAGTTTGTATCATTCCAAGTATGACATTCTTTGTATTGAGCAATTGATATTGATACATAACCGAATGCTCTGATGCGGTACCGTAACCCCAAACGGGTCCATCTCGGGACTCAATAAGAACACCTCTACCATTGAATACACTGATCTGAGTTGGTCCGTCCAAATCGTGATCGGCCACCCAAACCCAGTTATTTTCTAAGTATGCGCTACCGGTAGGCGCCACGTGTAGCATTAGAAACGATCCGTGGCACTCGGGTTTTGGGCTAGTACCTTTTCCACAGTTACCGCTCTGCAATCTGGTACCCTTACCACCGCCAATCCTAAAGTGGACGTCCCATAATCCAACAGCACCTTTTTGTCCTGCAGGTTCTTTTGCATTAATTTGTACCATTATAGCTCCGGGAGCAGGACCTTCAGTTGAGAATAACATATCGCTCACTTCGGCCACTCCTACATCACCCGGTTTTCCCAATTGGAATACCGGTCGTGGATTGTTCGGGTCATTAAAGTTGGCACCGGTAGCCATAATCACTGACCAAACTTCGCCTGTTATGCGTGAACCAACCGGTACTACAACGGTATCGGTGACCACATAATCGCCGGCGGGAAAGTAGATGACTTTACAACCGGCCCATTTGGTCACTGCATTTCTGATGGCTTGAGTGTCATCAGTAACACCATCTCCTTTAGCGCCTTCACTGATAACACTAATGAAGTCATTCATAGCTATATCGGTATAAATAGGTTTTGTCTTCTCAAAGAAGTTTCCATTATTATCCAATAGAACACCCGGTTTATTAGGTTTAGGTAACTGTCCTTGATGATACTCGGCCTTGCCTGATACATCATAAAATCTGCCCTGTCCCCATGAGTCGATAACTTTGTTGCCCCCATCAACTACTGTTTGGCCATTGGGTTTGGCTACTGCCCGCTGTACATTGGTCAGCTTAACGTTGTCCAGTGTGAGTGCACCGGCACCGGCAGGTTTTGATGTCGGACCGTTCACAGTTAGAACACCTACTGGTGTGTTGGATATTTCAGAGTCCATCAACAATACCGAACCGACTCCCTGTGCAGCCTCTCCTCCAGCAGTCATATCAATACCTGTTTAAACAGATTTTATATTATGTTATTTTAATCTAACTTTTTTGTAATTATTAATTAATTATTTATTATAATATGTTATGTCAAGTCAATTATCATTATTTCCTTCAATTATTAGCAAATGGTTTAATTTGAATTAATATAAAAATAATTAACTATTTATCAATTGATGGACTGACCTGTTTTGCAGTTATCAATTTTGACGCCCTTAAATGTCCATGCCCAATTCCAATTCATAAATATAGCAGTGTCGGCATTTCTGATAGWAATATTACGTGATGTGAACTGTTGGTTTCCGACCCACATACCAAAGTTGCCCCCTTCGAACACCAGGTCCGACATGAAACCTCCCGATCCATTTTCCATCCATATGCCCTGATGTTTATTGCCGGGTGCTGTACTCATTTTAACATGCACATTTGTAATGGATGTAGCCTGTGCCACCTGCCAATGTATAGCAGTGGCCGATTTTTCGGGAGGCGCTCGTGTCAGGTCGAGTACAAAGTTGCGCACTTGACGGTAGAAATTRTTTTGATTGGTCCATACTTCGTGAGGTCCGCTCAGGTACTCATCGGATGTAATGAGGGCGTGAACATTGTCACCATCAAAGTTAGGAGCCATAATCAAAGTCGGCGGATTAGTGGCATCACCGATAAATTGAGTGAAATAAAACTGTAATAAAGAGTGTGCGATGAGGTATTGTCCCGGAGGGAAGTAAACGATTGCAGGAGATATTGTTGCAGACTCACAAGTGCCCGGACCGCACCGGTCACCCTCACTGATGGCCAGATTTATAGCGGCCGAGTCATCTGTAACGCCGTCGCCTTTGGCACCAAAGTCTTTAACATTACGGAACACCTTATAAGCTCCGGGATTATTGTTAAACGGGGACTTCTCCTCGTGTTTAAGTGTCTGTAACCAGTAGTCATGTTGAGGACTGTGCTGTAGCTCTTTACCGCCACAACTCGGACCTAACGAGTTGATTCCCTCACACAGATAGCCAACCAGTGCTAAGACTAATAATATTTTAATCATTATTTTTAGTCTTTAGTCTATTGTAAGTGTTATATATAATGGTTGTAATTGATATACAATATATGATATACTGTATAACAAAATAATGACTTCGAGAAACAGCTATTTATTAGAAAAAAATTAGAGCTTTTGTTTCACAACACTTATGTGTTTTCATTAGATATGATTATCGACTTTCACTAATCAATAATAACTAATAAAACTATTTATTGAGTGGTTTGGGATTAGATGTCAAACAGTAATTTATAATTTTTAATAATTATTAATACAAAATACGTGATTAATTTTATATAAATATATTTTCTATTAATTATCTATATTTTGTATTTTCAATAACAATATTTAATGCCTATTCATATGTAATAAAATATGATCTATTCATAATTACCTATAATCAATTATTAATATATTGATTTTTTAATTTTCAGAGAAAATAGTTGTAATAAATATAATGAATATGATATTTATTTTGAAAATTCATTGTATAAAAATATATGGATTTTTAAATAATAAGTGAACATTCATTGATTTTAAAGCWAATACAGGTATAATAATATACTACATGTAAAGCATTGATAAGGTTTTAGTTTAAACAGTTTCATATCTTAACCTACGGTAATATTATATATAATTTAAAATAATTATGGCATCATTCCAAACACAATTAATTATATTATATTTATATTATATTGAATTAAAATTATTTTAATTGAAAAATGCTGCCAAGGTGATATTTAAATAAAAATATTTATAATAATATTTTCTAAAATGTTATATTTTTAAAAATTGTAATTTATATATTATAAGTTTTATAGTATTTTACTCAAAATTTTGGCAGAGGCAATTAAAAATAAACAATAATTTATTTTATGATTTATAATCTTATAATTTTTTACTTATTTAGTCTATTATTTTAACTAAACAGGAGCTAAACCTTCTTAATAAACAGATAAAAGATTGTATTAATTATTCTATGATTTTCAATGATTTAGTACTAAATTTGATAAAGTTATTAGTTATTAAAAATGTATATAAAATTGATTAAATTGTTAAAAGTATTATAAATTATCAAAAATATAGATAAAAATAGAATCTTATTATTAATATATTATTCCACTATAAAAAACATTTAATATTATACAGTAATATAGAATTAAATTATCAATAAAATATTGATAATTTATTAATAGTTATTTTTATAACACTTGATTTTTTTTGTAAAAACAAAATATTTGTAAGATAATTAATTATAATACTTTAATTTAGTATTTTTTCGAGTTTAGTTTATATGTACCAGTATATAATTATGATTTATTTTATTGAAATGATAGGTGCATAGTAAAGTTGTCGATTTGTGGAGAGTTAACATATAAGTGCTAAATTAAACAATAACAGATTAGTTAGCAAATATTATAATTATTATTTAATGTAATTATTTGTTTATTTTTTAAATTTTTAATTATTTTTCATTTTATTATATATTTATCATTATTTTTTATTTTATAATATTTTTAAAACATGTACTTATAATTTTTTTCATAGTGTGTATAATAAATGAATGTTATTATAAATTTTGTTCCACAATTCGACATGTTTAGTGTATAGTTTGTTTATTCAAACTTATTAAACTTATTTTTATTATTTAGTATAATTTATGCATTTTTATAAAAAATAGTCACAAAATCAATGTAAATACTTCATAATATAAAATTTTATGAAAGAATTGATAATTATATATCAATAGTTAATTAAATTGTAAACATGTTTTTAAACAAATACAATAAAGTACAATAAATTTGGTTAAATTAGGATTTTTATATACAGTATATAACACATTTGGTATAAATTGGTAAATGTTATCTAAAATGTTATAAAAAATAATATAAAAGTAATATAAAAGTAATATAAAAGTAATTCTAATTCTTAATGTAAAATTGGATTAAAATTGGATACATTTTAAATAAAAGCATTATTAGATACAACTATAATCACTTATTTTTAGTAATACAGAACAAAAACATATGTAATTATAATTTATTTTTTATTTAAAACTTACAAATGAAGACAGTTTTCGGTGACTCGAGTGTTGTGTTCCGCAAAGTGTGACAGAAATTGTCACCGAAAACTGTCTTCATTTGTAAGTTTTAAATAAAAAATAATTATAAAGTATTGTGAAAACTACATAAAACTTAATATTATGTAATATATAAATATTTATTGATATTTGACTACTGAATTGTTTTACTTATTTAAATCGACGATTTTATTTGATTACACACAAAGATTTATACAAATTGTTAAACTTGACTTAATTAATTAAAAAACTATAATTAACCTGGACAAATTTTATACATTATATTACTGTATAAATTCATTGGTTAATATTGAACAAATTATTATAAATTATTACATATAATTATTTTTATTTAGGAATTACARTATATTCAACATTTAAGTATTAATAGCATAATTATTAACCTAAATATTTATAGCAATATTATAATTAAACTTAATTGACTTTACTTAAAAAACATATGGTATTGACAATTTAAATATAATTATTAAAATAATAATATACACAATTTTATTTTATTAAATTATTGTAATTTCATAAACTATTAATACAGTATAAGTTAGACAATGACATTCCGTTTCTATTTTATAATTGTTTGTATTATTAATTTATATTATCTAATATCGGCTGAAGAAAAACAAATAGGTTTCTAATAATTATGCATTTATTATATACTAATCTATAATATATTACAAACATTATTAACTAATATTAACTAACTCTTACTATAATTAGCACCTTTACCTAAGCACGTACTTCCGTCCGGTCGTGTATTACCACCAATAGGTTTCGGTACATTTGGATGGGGAACACATTTGAATGGTCTGACATCATATTTGTCGGCAATCGATAACGGGTACCGTTTAATCGATACGTGCAGTTTCTACGATAACAAACTTACAATAGGTCTGGCCGTCAAACAACAAATTGCTGCCAAACTGATCACCCGAAAGGATGTGTTTATAATCAGTAAAATCTGGAATACATTTCACAAAAGTCAAAGTGTTGTCGAAAACATTAGGGAAGACCTAAAAGAATTGGGTTTTGACCGAATCGACGCCGGATTACTTCATTATCCGACTTCATTTCAACCGGGAATTAACAAAACACCAAAGTATTAGTTATTTACACTTATATTAAATAATAATATTTACTATTATTTATTGTTGTTTACAGATTTGAAAACGGCTCGTATGTACCAATGTTTTGGGAGAAAGATAAGGGATATCTAGAGGCCTACCGGGGTCTTGAAGCTGCCTTTCTATTGGGTCTAATAGGAAGTATAGGATTGTCTAACGTTAATGTACATCAAATCAATAAGATCTTAGAGAATGCATATATACGACCAGTCATATTAGAGGTTTTCAACTATTTTTAAATGATATATAAATATTGTTATTAATAATTATATTTTTGATATTTATTACTTATAATAATAATAATATTATAGATTGAATGTCATCCGTTTTACAAAAACGAAAAACTAATTAATTTTGGTAAACAAAACAATATGTCAGTCATATGTTATGCACCGCTGAGGGGTGGTTCGCAAGAGCTCAAGAATAACCCGGTGCTCAAAGAGATAGCTTCCAAACACAACCAAAATGTACAACAGGTAGCCCTGCGCTGGAATATGCAAAGGGGAACCATTGTTATCCCCAGATCTCACAATAAGATCCATCAATTGGAGAACATTAAGTCTCAAAATTTTGTATTGGATGAAAATGACATGGACAAAATTAACAATTTACCTGATCTCAAAAAATTGATGAATATTAGTGGCCTACAAACTCATCCGGACTATCCATTTGGACCGGGATATGATACTGAACCTTAAAATAATAGCTATTACTTAAATAATTTAATATTTTTTGTTTGTTTGATATTATATATATATTCTCTTAAACTAAAAATTACAATTAAAAAAGAGATTTTATTAAAGTAAAATATTTAATAAAAAAATATAATTTGCATTATTATATTAAATATATATTTTTTTAATAAATTCCTGTTCAGATTCCATATATTAAGTAACTTTTTWATAGACACTTAAATGTCACTCAAATGTCACTCATTTGATCTATTTTTAGTCCTTTCGATGGTAAGCACCCGACAATCGATAGCTATTATTAACTCAGTATTAAAGTCACTATTACTTTGTTAAACCATTTCTCAACTTTCAATTACTCAAAGGCATAATGATTATAAGTTTTACTTTTATCTGATATTAAAAAAAAATTATTGAAAAATATACTGTAATACATATAATTCATTAACATAAAAATTAACTTACATTATAATCAATGTCATAATAATAAGTTATATTAATGTTGATGTCTGTTAAAAATCAACTATGTTAAGGACTATTAATTAATTCAATCAATTAGACCCATCAGCGAAAAAAACTGTAATTTATTGTACAATAATTTAAAACTCGATGACCTCTCTCTCTCCCTCAATAGTACTACACAGTTATGTTAACAAAATTGTTGGTTATTTATATAAAAAAAAAAATAATATACTTTACTGCATAACATTAAAATATTGTAAGTTTGAGTTACTTTTTCATCACTTAATAGCAACAATTATCTGCTATTGATTTGTGGTCACTAGTGTTTCGGTACTCACTTAGTACCACTTCATCAGTACAGTTGCACAGATAGTTATAGATATTTAATCCGTACGGAAACTGGGTGTTTGTGATAGATATTTAATACATTACTAAATAGTTTATAATTTGTGTGTTTATATAATATAAAGAATTAAATTATTATTCCCGTACGGCTTAAAGCACTGGTATGTCTATGACTGTTAATGCATCTGTACTGATGAAGTGGTACTAACTGAGTACCGAAACACTAGTGTCAACAAATCAACACCAGATAATTGTTACTATTAAGTGCTATAAATTTACAATATTGTAATATCATATGTGACATCAATTTTACAAATTTTAATAAATTAATATAAACTTATAATTAATTTTTATTGATTACACAGGAATTAACTTAATTTAATTGATAGTCTCTAAACAKTTATTCGTGTGATTTGACACTATATTTATGTGACAGAAAATTTATTAATTATTAAAATTATATTTATTATTAAAAAAATTGGACATTTTATTTTTATATTTAAATAAAATTATTAAAAATTTATTTTTATATATTAATATTATTTGTTAAAAATACATGTTATGCAATATTTATGTTCTAAATTAATTGCATGTAATTTAACCATAATTATAACATATTAATATGTCATTAATAAAATAATTTTTAATTTTTTAATGTAAATTATATTTTATTGTAATTTGCTATACAATATTTAATAAATGTTAGTAATTATTTATCAATAATTAAATATTAATTTTATTCTTAATTTTTACTGTATATAAAAATAATCAAACAATTATCAATTAGTAGTTTTTTAAATACAAATAAAGTTACTTAATGGGACATACAAATAAAAAATATATAGATAAACAAATTTATTACCATTTAAAACAAAATAAAAAGTAAACACAAACTTACGTAAACTATATAATATAAATATATAATATTATTTATATTAAAATTACAGATTTAAAGGATAAAACAATATATGTTACTTTAAGTTATATACTTATATAGTATAATGATTAATAACAGTGACAATGAAGTGAAATCTGAGTCAAATTATTTATATAATATTTAAAAAATATAATAAATTCAAATCACTTAAAAAATAATAAAACAAAACTAAGAAAAATTGCACATAAAATATATGCATACTATTAGCTAAAAGGACTGATAGCCTCAAAATCTGGGACTGAAATAGCCTTCAGACACGATTTCATCGATAGATTTACGCTGAGAGGTCTTCTCATCGGTCCTACCCTTATAGTTACGTCGTTTTCCAACCGCAATCATGGCCTCCACCTGATAGTCGCCATTGTTAGGCATACGTATGGCGCGGGCGGCTTTCGGGTAATCAAAACCGGCCATTGCGTGCACTACATAACCGCGCGATACGCCCTCCAGTGCCATAGCCATCCATGCGGCRCCGGTATCAAAGCTGTGGGACCGGACAAACGATTTCTTGCCTTTATATACACTGAAACGATTGGAGACGAGTATAATGAGTACCGATGCGTCTTTAGCCCACTCYTGATTGCCTGCTGTTAGCAATGATAGAAATTTGCGAAAATGTTTAGTCCCACGTTTAGCATATATGAACCGCCACTCCTGTGTATTGAAATGACTCGGTGCCCATTTGGCCGCTTCGAACAGTGGATACAGTTCCCCGTCAGTCATTTCTTCGCCCGACATTTGGCGCAATGAGCGCCGCCCTAATATCATAGGGTGTATGGCGTATTCGCTGCGGCGGCCCTATTAGTTATAATAATTTTTTTTTAGGTAATATTAAAATAAATATTTTGTATGACTTACACCAATAGCCTCCATATCGTAAAAATATGGGCCCTCTTGTAAAGCCTGATGTTTTTCAACAGGAGATACATCACGATATTGTTGGTGTGAGGAAGTGTGGTATTTCTCAAAATATCCTAAAATATTAAATTAATATAAATTTTAATTTATTTATTATTAATTAATTATTTTATAAACTTTGTCAATCATATTTGTTAAATCAATTATTTGTTATTAAAAAATTATAAATAGATAATAATAATTAAAATACATAATTTTACATTATTATTATTATATTGCATGATAATAGTAATTTTACTTTATTTGACTTAATTGTGGCATAATTACAATAAATAAAAATAAAACTTACTTTTTTGGCATACTACTTGATTAATATCAATGCAAATAAATATGAATATGATAAAAACTAAATTGATCATTTTTTCAAATATAAAATATAACTTAATATAAGTGTGCTATTAATGAATCTGTATTTTCATTTATGAAAACTATTTTTCTAAATTTGGAAATTTATAAATTGTTATATTGGTATTTACATTGATAATAACAATATAAATTTTTGAAAATAATTAAATGATTAAAAACAAATATAAAATAAAAATTTCAAAAAATACTTCAAAAATTATATGTTATAAGAAAAACAATTCTAAGTGTTATTATTAATATTATTGAGACGATTACTAAACGATGACACGAGTGATGAGAATTATTATAATATTAAATTCAATGATATTTTTGAAACAAAAGCACAATACTTTGCATAAAACAAATAAATTGTTTTTAAAATAAAAATAATAAATTTATAAGACCTTCAAATTCAATGTTTATTGAATTATAAAACACATATCTCATCATTTGATTATAATCATAAAAACTTATAATTAAATGGGCAAATCAATGCACACAAACACACATACAATATCATTAAATCGGCTCAGGTATGCTATTTTTACGGCAGTGTGGGTGCACTTGATTCACTGCTCCGATACACAATTAAACATTAATATGAAAATATATTACAATTCATATGCAAATACAGATTAATAATTTTCATGAGAAACTCTATAGACATGTTTGACAACATTTTATTATTATGACTGACTGACCATTTAAAGAGAAATAAAGAGAGAGAGAGAGAGAGAGAGAGAGAGAGAGAATAGTTGAAACAATTACCTATATATTGAGTATACCATTACAATAGCTACAGTTCCTTCCCTTGTGCTTCCAACTTAATTTAAATTATATCATTTATTATACAATAACATAATAGTTAAATAATTGTTATGCACTTTAATTGTAGTGAAAAATAAATAGATTGAGAAAGTGAGAGTGAGTGAGTGAGTGAGTGAGTGAGTGAGTGAGTGAGTGAGTGAGTGAGTGAGTGAGTGAGTGAGTGAGTGAGTGAGTGAGTGAGTGAGTGAGTGAGTGAGTGAGTGAGTGAGTGAGTGAGTGAGTGAGTGAGTGAGTGAGTGAGTGAGTGAGTTTGTGTGTGTGTGTATGTGTGTGTGTGTGAGAGAGAGAGAGAGAGAGAGAGAATAAGTGAGACTCTGAACTCATTTAAAATATAATTTAAACCAGAATTTCGTAATTCAAGGGTAATTGAAAAGTAAGTGAAAGCAAACATCAAAATAGTAATTAACAAAAATATTAATACAAAGCATTATTAGGCACAGTATTTGTATAGTTTATTAATAATTATATATATACTGTACTTATAATTATATAAGTATTAATTTCAACAAAATGTAAGCTTGTATTTAGTTTTATAACATTTAAATTATTATAATCATTTAATAACATCTTATTATTTAATAATATTTAATATGATATTTGTTTGCGGCTATAATATAAATTTTTTTGTTTATATTATATTTCTACAAATCTAAATAAATATATCTTTCCTTAAGATTTTTTTAACAAACAAACAAAACAAATAATAATAAAATTTAAGAGATAATTATAAAAGTGTTTTATTCATTTTCAACACTTGYTTATAAACTAGATTTAAAATACAATAAATGTGAAAGTCGTGTAAATATTAAACCAATAAATATATTTTAATCTATTTGTTTAGTTCTTATAACAAAAAACTATTTAAAAATTAGCATTATTTAAATTTATTAAATATTATCTAATTTTTATTAAAATATTATTAATTAAAAAATGTATTAATTATAATCTAGTTTATAGGAATCAGGTTTAAAGTATTATATAATATTAAATTTTTAAAGTTTAAAGTTTAATTTTGTTAAGTATTTATTATATTGACATCATTAACGCAAAACAATAACATTTTTATTTATTTCTAAGTAATATAATTTTCTTATAAATAATTTAATACATTTCAGACTTTTGCCAAAAAGCTGAAAACAATATTGAAAAACGACATATATTTTTAGTGACAAATCCCACATACAAATGTGTATAATGTTATCACAGAAAAAAAAATATTAGCAAAAAGTATTTAGTCTATAATTATAAATAGATATACAAATGCAATTTTCATAAACATAATGAAATAAACATTAGAGTGGTTGTAAAAATTATTATATTTACGGGATTCCCGTTTCAATTTTATTTTAATAAACATAGATATAAAAAATTTAAAAAATAATTCAACATTATTAAATTACTAAAAAAATTTAGACGTTAGAGATTAACGATAAAATATTTTTTTATGAGTTTATATTTTTATAAATAAGTTTGAATTTAAACTCAATTAAAAAGTATTTATTTAATGAATAAATTAAAATTATTTATTTAATAAAACATATTTAGTTTTGTTAAATTGTATAGTGAGTTGAGTGGCCGTTGATCAGGCGGCCAACAACTCGGGTTCGGTAAAGTATACGAAATAAGTACACGTTTTTATACGAAAGTAAACGATTTTATTTAATATAAAATATGCGACTAAACGCTGTGAAAGCTAAACGACTACTACTGTTGCGGAAACGGTAGAGTCGTTGAAATAATGCAATGCTGTCGCTGTTGATGTTGTGTTGAGCGCCAGCTGTTAACACACTCCCCGGCCGCGTATATTGTCCGAATTTTTCGACTTTCGGGTAATGTGATCACGTACATCAATCGGTGATGTGTTTCGGTGATTACGGTCATGTTTATCGTCAAACCGTCGTTGTTTGTCTTGTGGTAGACGTCCAATCGGTGTCATAGGTGGTCGTATTAGTGGACGTTTCTTTTCGCTGTAATTTGTGATATCACGCTTAACGGTAAACAAACCAATTTGAGGTATCCGCGGACTACTGCCGGAACACCTAAACGATTTGTTATGCGATTTGATCGGCTCCTGTCGTCGACATTGACGTTTCCAATGATATTCGGTGAAACCGTGTCGAAGACATCGAGGACAAGGAGTCGGCGGTATGTCATACTTACGATTGTCTTTACGATTAATGCGATTATTTTCGGTGACAATACCGACTTTTTTGACTGTCATATGTGCGACTTTCGGTTTATTCGAGATATGTCGTTGACTTCGCAGGCGCACAGTTGTCTTCATTTCTGCGATGTCGAGTCCAACGAGAACATCGTACGCGATGTCCATTACGTGAATCGTTACGTATTCGGTGTGTCCGTCCATTTGAATCTTAACGTTGACGACACCGAGTGTATACTTATCGCCGGCGATGGTACCTACTTTGGTCTTATGTCGCGCGTCCGGTCGGAGTTTCATTTGTTTTGCGACATCCTTCGATAAGATAGTAATGTCGGCGCCATTATCTATGAAAGCTCGTACGGGTTTGTCATTAATTCGTATGTCTCGATATCGTTCAGTATGCGAGACAGCGTTAACCACTGGATCCGGATTTTTCGGTTCTGTTCTCGGACAGACGCGCATCCAGTGATATTCGGTTATGCCGTGTCGTCGGCATCGTGGACATGGAGTCGGTGGCCTATCATTGTTACCATTCTGTCGCTTTTTCCAACGATTACGTTTGGGTTGGCCGTCTTCGTCGTCGATAGCGTTAACGTTAAAACTTTTATTTCTTTTTCGTGTCTCTTCGACGAGAAGCGCTATTTGTAGCCATTCTTGAGGCGTTGTCGGTCGTTGACAGGCAATCAGCGGCCTGTAGTAGTCGGGCATACCCTTCGTGAGTAGACCTATCTGTTGTTCGTCGGAGGCGCGCGCTTCGTCCAGAAGGCGGCGCATTTCGTGATAATACGTGAGTACGCTCTCATTAGCTTTGAGTTTTCGGTCGGAGGCTTCGACAAGACCGTGACCAACCATACGACCAAAACGCGCAATCATAAGAGATCGGCATTCGGCCCAGGTCAGGTTTGGAAGTTTTCGGGCGACTTCACGACAATACCAACTGAAGGCATCGCCGGTCAGGTGCTTGGCAAGCGCAAGCAGCCTCTCGTAGTCGTTATAAGCGTATGTCAATGCGGTGAAGCCATCGAGCCATTCGTCGATAGGAGTTACGGAGGAACCGCCTATAAATGGTTCACATAATTTAGATGCGTGTTTTACGGTACTATGCGGTCGTGTTGTTGAGGTATCGGCATCGGAGTCCAATCGCTGTACGCTAGTAATCGATAAACTCGATGCCGTATTGCGATTTTTAATCACGTTTCGTGCGGCGGCGGCCACTTGAGCAGCTCTGGTCAGCGTTGCCAAACGTTGTGCTAATCCATCCTGTGTCGGGTCGTCGGCCATATCGCGTGACAATGCTTCTAAGTCTGAAGCGATTGACGACAAGTCTTCATTCGTGTCTTCGGAAGTCGGGTTGAGTCCGTTCGCACCCGTCGGTACATTAAGTTCGTTACTGAATGGCGGTAGTGTTCGGCCACTACGTAATTGTTGAGACATCGTTGTCTTCGTATCGTTTCTTTAAAACGCTTTATTAACGAAAAACCGTTGAATCGATGAGAGCCGTTAAGGCGACAAAAAACCGTTGTTTTTTGAATTCAAAAGTCGTCGGTGAGTAGGTCGTCGAAGTCGATTTACTTTCGATATCCGCGAGGTAAGTATCTCAGTCGACTGCGCCAATTGAGTTGAGTGGCCGTTGATCAGGCGGCCAACAACTCGGGTTCGGTAAAGTATACGAAATAAGTACACGTTTTTATACGAAAGTAAACGATTTTATTTAATATAAAATATGCGACTAAACGCTGTGAAAGCTAAACGACTACTACTGTTGCGGAAACGGTAGAGTCGTTGAAATAATGCAATGCTGTCGCTGTTGATGTTGTGTTGAGCGCCAGCTGTTAACACAATAGTTTAATTAATAAAATCTAATAATATTTTAAAACTAATAAACTTTTTAAATATTTTAATCATTTAAGACACGGACGGGATTAAAATATTATAAAAAAACTGAAACATCACACATGCATACAATGAGTGTGTACTGGTATTTATAAAATGTTGTTCCCATTTATATTTATATTTATATTTTGACATCACATACAATATATAGTCAGAGGAAAGTTTTTTAGTGTGGGTTCGCCTTAAAGTGATATTAGATTTCATTTGCAAACAAGTTATTTATTTTTACCATTCATTTACTCATTTACTTTATGTTTAAGCGATATTGTGTTGAAACAAATGCTTAAAAATTCTATAATAAAGAATATTCTTTTCAAATAAAAATTTTGTTTCAGTTATTCACCACATATTGTAAGTATATATATATATATTTATATTTATATTTATAAAAATATAATTATTAATATATTTAATTAAAAATATAAATATTTATTAGATAACTGAGTTTTAATAAGATGTCAGAATTGGAGTCAGAGTCGGTGCCCATATCAGGTCCGACACGTGAGGAACGCAATCGTTGGCTGTTTGACTGTAAACGATGTTTCGGTAAATTTGAGACTAAACATGCATTGGAGGAACACCTAAAAAGACGACTGTTTAAGTGTCCGTTTCGTTGTAAAGCATCGTTTGTTCACAAGGATGAGCTCAAAACACACGAAAAAGTTTGCACTAATCGACTGAAAAATAGTTCATTTGATTGCTATAAAATCTATAACATGATGTATGTATTATTATATTTATTAACTTTTCAACTATAATAATATTATTTTTACATAAAAATATTAATTAAGTGTTTGAAATATTTAACTATTAAATATTATATTCATTTATACAATTTATATGCAATTCTTGCCTTTAAATGCCTTATAGATTGTGAATAATGTTTTTTCTTTTTTTCAAAAGTGAACCAAAACATTATGTATTTCGTGATTAATAAGAGATAGAGATTCACACAAAATAATAGATTAGAAGTATATATAGTTAGTTGGGTCAACATTATGTATATAATAACAAGGTTAGTCTTATTTATCATATATATATATATATAAAACTTAATTTTTATTAATTATATTACCCAAAATATGTTTATATTTTAGTGGCAGTATTATATTTTTATATATAGATATAATATTTTAGACATAAAATCTATTTTATATTCAATATAATTTTATATCTTATAATTATAGTAAATGAATAATCCCTATTTTATATATAATATTACTAAATGTATATATTATAAAATCTGAAAATATCAATAGTATTAAGAAAAGTATAATATAAATCATCAAATTTATAAAGAAATTAAATTATAATAAAAACTATTTCTAATTAACAGTAATTACAAATCAATAAACAATATACTATAAATTATGTAAAATTTAAAAAATCTTATCATWGATAATGATATAATACACCTGTTCATTGTTATGTGACTAACCTTGAATACTTTAATACAGTAAATGATATTATATATAAATATTTTATATAACTTTTTTGACATTTAACACCACAAATATTGTAAATATAAAACTGATATATTAATACAAAACTAATGCACTTTTTATTATATATTTATAGACTTAAATGTCATATCATTTACAAAGATATGAAAATAAAATATTAGTCGTAAAAATAGTTTAGAAAAAGTTTGAACAACACTTCGATAAGTGCATACATTATAACAATTATTTTGTCATTATATAAATAAATTTTCTAAACTTAAATATATTAAATAATATTTAAAATACAGTACATATTATAATTAATAGGATATTATTAATTTATAATATATTTTTATAATATATTTTTATAATATAGTAATCTACGTCACAGTTTAACGCCAAGGAAACGGGAAAAATGTCTGCCCGGTCTTAACTTATGGGTTAGATATCCCTATTGGTTTGATAGACCATTGATTGACAACTTGGGACTACCCGTACCTATCAATAGACTGCTTTACGAGGAAAGTGCTATCAATAATAAGATTCTCAAAAATCAATATCTCAAATATAATACAATTCAATTGTATAAAAAATAATACTGTAATTAATTATTTGCTAAACTATTATTGATGTTATGGTGTTATTGTTTTTTATTATTATTAATATTATTATTAATATGAAAATCAATTGTGCGCTTAAACTGCAATCTGTAAAACTATTATAAAACGAAAAATCATTAGTAAATTGATATTAGTATTATTGGTAACTAACTATTTAAAAAGCTTTTTTCGTAATTAAATACCATTAAATTTGTTTAAATCATTATATCATTAAAAGTTATTTTGTGTGAAAGTCTAAAAATAAAAACATTTTYCAAAATTTAAGTGTATCTATCAATCATCTATTTGTATCAACAATTAAAAAAAAAAAATATCATATAAATATATTTATCATATATTTGGCTAAAAACGTTAAGTGGATGAATAGTTAAAATACTGGTGCCCTCCAAAAATGGTACAGGGTCGTTTGGTGACAATATTGCGATTTTTATTTGCCGTACTAAACATATTGATAATAATTGGCGGTATTGTGGGCTTTATATTGGGAAACATCAACTTCAATGACAAGTGGTTTTATTGCGGTAACTTTATCGGAGGACAGTTGGCATCAATATCCATACTGTTCATAGTGTATGGATGTCTGGGACTGTACGCATCGATGAAGCATGATAAAATTGCTATATTAATTTATTTGGCCATATGTGTGGTCTCATTGGTGACTCGGGTGCTATTATGGGCACTGGCAGCTATGCATAGCTATAGATTGGGCTCTGAAAACTATGCTTATGTATCACTCGAGTTGGTTATTATTTTGATGTCTGCCCTCGAGTTTTATATTAACCGATAAATTATTTTTAATCTTTTTTCTTTTTATTTATATAAATAATATATAATTAATATCATTTATGTAATTACTAATAAATTGATTATTATAATAATCTCAATTTTTTGAACCGATTGGTAAAAATATTTAAAGCATCATAAAAATGTTTTTCATTATAATTATGGAAATCAATATAATTAATGTTAGATTTATATAAATATTTACAGTATTATAACACATAAACATACTGTACTTTCCTGTTATACTGTTTACAAATATCTATATTATGCAATAATTATCTAACTTATTGTATTGTATTGTGAAAATGTAATTAAATACTAATTTATTATTAATGTAATGTAAAGTTAAAAATATCAATAAATTATTCTCACATGTATTCTCATAATTACTGACAATATTATATTAAATATTATTTTAACTAATAATTTATTAATATTTTAAACATCACTCCATCTATTAATTAATAAATACAATATTGTAATTTAAGATTTAAATTTTTTCATAATAAGTAAATTTATAAAAAAATATAGAATTATATAATACTAATATTTTTATTATTTTTTACAAAAAGTGAAAATAATAATATTATACAAAAATGTTATTAGTTAGCTAAATTAAAAATACTTATAATTTTAAAAGTTATAACCAATAAACTATTCATATATTTATATCATAGCATAGCAGCTAAACAATAAATAAATAATAATAATAATAAACTTTATTAATAAACTTTTTATTATTTTTATGGAAATATCTGATAAAAGTTTTAGAAATCTTTATTTTATATTAATTTATTAACAAAATATATAATTTTAATATCAATTAGCAAATTGTTTGATTTTTTGGTTCAATAGATTTATTGTTTTATTTTCAATAGGCATCGGAAGCTTTGATGAAATAATTTGATGTAGAAATACATTATTTAAAACGATGAACAAAATTGGCACAAATAAAGTGTGAAAATTATAGTCAACAGATGTTTTACACACAAAAAATGTATTGATTATTACACGCAATATTAAATCCATATAAATGGCATATTTTAATTTAGCCAAATTAAGATTATGAAAATCACTTTTAAATGTCTCAATTTTATCGTTAATATACGTAAAAAATGTTTTTGTATTATTTTCATTGTCGATGTCTTCAAAACTAAATTGCAATATAGATTCATATCTGACATAAACAGTATAGAAAATAATAGAAAACAATTGTGATCCGGGTATTAGTGTAGTTATGAAACAATGATTATAAAAAGGCAGGTAATCGTTGTGTCGATTAAAGTTACCAATTGTGTCATACATATACAAATATATATGCAATTTAATACATAATAAATGTATTGAAATATTTAATGCATTTAATAGCCCATAATATTTGATGCTATGTTGATAATCGTAATCAATTAATTTGTTAATTAATTGATTTAATATATTTTGTTTTATTCTTAAATATACATAAGTTATAATTATTGAAAGATATTTCAGACAACACAACATTTTACAAATTAAAAGTATCGCACAATTTTCATTAAATGTAATTAATGATATCATATGTAACAATAATGATAAATATGTTATCATAAATATAGCACACATTAGATGATTGACATATTTGTGCGATGATGATAATCCATAAAATATTAACATATATTTAATCATTGTTGACTAATTTATACAATATACAGAATATACTGTAAATAAAGTAAAATTATTGAATTAAAAAGCTTTATTATTATCGCAATTATTCAATCACATTGATGTTATATAAAATTATTATTATTATTATTATTAAATACTAAATATTTTGAAACATTTAACATATATGGTAATATTGTATAACATTATACATAACAAATATTTGTTATAATAACAAAAACTACTTGTAWTGTTTAAAATGTAATATAATGTAACTAAAAATAGTAGTTTTGAATAAAAGTGATAATTTTTCTAAATAATATAGTGTCGACCACTAGCCATTTGAACATTACATTGTTTGCAACTCAAGTTATTAATATTTCAGAGCCCAGTGTAATATATAATTATATAAATAAACATATATTTTATAGATGTTTATTTACTTTGTTTAGTTAATATGATTTTTTATATATTCAATAGTCTAGACTCTAAACAAATGTATAATATTTTATTTATTAGTACAGAATAATTAAAAAAAATATTTATTTCATAGAAAATTTACTTAATTCAATATTTTGTTTATATTCGAGCAAATAATWATAAATTGTTTTTTATTACATTTCTAATTAATATTAATTATAATAACAATATGTTATAATTTAATACAGTTTTATAATATTGGATATTTAGTTATTCATAAATATTATTTAATCTTTGCCTAAATATACAGTAAATACAAAATATTAAGTAATTTTAAACTTTTCACTAATTCTTAGTATTTTTATTAAATTTCTATAAAGTATAATATATGATATCATACTGTATTCATATTCATAGTAATATAATATATTTAAATATTAGATGTTTTTATGATCAATTGTTTATAAAATATTATACTTATCAATAGCAATGTTATAATCTCATGTTTATATTAAGCTCATAATACAGTTACATAAAACCTATTATGTAAAATTTATTGTTTTTCAATGATAAAGTTAAACTCAAACATAAATACACAAAAAATGATATCATAAAATATTATACTGTACTGCATATAGTCTATTTATACATTGTATAATTGATAACAATAACTTATTTGGATAATACATGTTAATTATTGTTATTTGATATACAGTAAGTTATCTTTAAAACAGTATATTGTATTTTAAAAGATATTATTTAGAAATTATAATAACTAGTTATAAACATTGCTTTATATTACTTAAGTTTAAATAGCATAAATTTGATTGAATTTTCAAAATAAACAACTTTATATTTTGTATATTATAATTATTATAATAATATATCAATAGWGTATTTGGGTTAAATTGTCCATGTTAAATATAGTTTTGAATTAATTTAGTTAACTTTAATTATTCAATTTGTATAACTCTTTCGTGTGAATTATTATTATGTTAATATTGTAGTGTATTCAACAATATTTAATATAATATAATAAAACAGTAATATAATATATATAAATATATATATATTATTTACATAATTATCGAAATTTTTGTGTGATATGAAATATGCTGTTAAAAATAAAAATAATTATATCTAATGTCTCACAATAAATGAAATAATAAATCAATAAATTTTATATTGTAACACATGAACTGAATAACTTTAAATAATGATTTGTTAAATAAATTAAAAAACATACAAAAAAATTTTATTTGATATATATATATATATATATATATTACTCATTTAGTAAGTAAATACAATATGAAAATAACACTTGAGATAAGATAAATAAGAGGTGAATTATTATCGTTAAAATTGAATTATCATTATTACTTGTAAAACGGTTAGCAAAAAAAATTCTTAATGTAAACTAACTGTTTGTTTTCTATTTGTATACAATTTTCATTATAATTTTTTGTGATAATACAGTAAATTTATATATAATTAAATTTTCAGCAATTACAATTTATATTTTGCTGCATAAATATTTATTTATAATATAGTTTAACACATTGAATAACACATTAAGAAAAATAAATTCTAAAATCAATAACTATTAAGTGCTTTTATAATTAAATAATCATATTATGTATTATTAATTTTTAAATCGTGATTGTTATATAAAATTAATTTTTATTGTTTGTGTCTGAGTGTATATTAATAGTAAATTATTAATTATATTGATAGTTAAAATAAATGCATATATAGAAAGACAATTATAAGTAAACAGTGTTTTATATAATACTATAAAAAATAATGTCAAAAATAAAAATACAAATTATAAACATGTAATAAATATATAATTAATTGTAATAATATGATAATTATATAAAAAAACAATTTTATAATAAAAATTAAGAAAAAATTAATTTTTGGTTTATTAATAATAATTTTTAATAAAAATAAACCAATTAATTTATTTAATAATAACCACAATATTTAGTTAATAAAAACTAAAATATCATAAAAATAATAAATTTATAAATAGTTATAATTTACATAATAATATAATTTATTTGTGATATTCAACAAAAAATAATTATGTTAGAAAAATATTTATTAAATTTAAAGTTTACATTTATTGGACTCAATGTATTAATAATAATTTGTGCCGTATTTTGCTTTATATACGGAAACTTTGACTTCTATGACAAGTTTGTTAACTCGGGTTCAGTGATTGGCGGACATCTGACACAGTTATCTGTGCTGTTCCTCGTCTATGCCTTACTGGGTATCTATGCTATTATAAGAGTGGATAGGATGGCATTGTATGTCTATACCAGTATTGGATTAATATCATTGTTGATCCGTAATTTTTCTACCGGTTTGGCCGCATTGCACGGGTATTCGTGGTTTAGACAGGGATACGGCAACTCATTTTATGCAATATATACCTGGTTTGAGTTGGTGTCTGTCCTACTATCGGGATATCTTGTTTTCACTGATAAAGATTAGTATTATTTATTTAATTAATTTGTGATAATAAGTTTCCAAATATTAACTAAAAAATATGTGATAAAGATTATTCAATATTAGATTAATGTAATTTTTAAATATTAAAAGTATTTACYATAAAATCTAGAATTATATTTAATTGTAAATAAATATTTTATTTGTAAATATTTTCACACAATTTGAATGAACTTTTAGCTTAAATTATAAGCTAAAAACAAAAATATTTACTATCTGATAGCAAAAAATAATCAATTATAATTTTAGATATTTAGTATTTTAGTCGTTAAATTATTTTTTAATTTTAATAGATATGAAAACTAAAGTGGAGTTTTAAAAAATAATATTTAAAACTGATTACAACGATAACCAATAAAACTAATTGATAAAGTATTTAATTAAATAACTTTTGTAAAATAGTTTATATACCAGTTTTAGTTAAACTTAATCAATGAATAAATAAAATATTAATATTAAATAATTAAAAATATATGTTTAACTTATTATAAAAATGTTTTAATTATAAAAATATMTAATACAATACAATATACATGTAATATGAATGTATGTTAATATTGCAAAATATTACATTACATTATTTTTTTTAATTAATTTTACTAATTTTTTATAAATTATATAGATTTAAAAGTTGGAATAAAAATAAAATAAAATAACATTTATAGTGCATATATTCATAAAATAATATTTGTTAAACTTAACAAACTATCTGAAACTTATAAAAAATTATTTATTAATATAATAATGTATATATACTTTTAAATTAACTTAATATAACTTTTTACAATATAATGAAAAGTATTATAGGTTATAATGTAATTACAATAATTATGATGAATCTATAATATCTTATAAATTACATGATTTATCATTTATTTGGGTGTAATTAATAAAGATATCATTGATGTTGTCCTTCATTATAATTTTAAAACCAAATCTAAAGTATTTAAAATCAAAATATCTTACATTTAAAGCAATGATTTTTTTGTAAGTTATAACTTATAAGTAAAATTAGACCAAATATTTGCATAAATGATATATAATTAAAATTGTAGTGCAATAATAATTTAATTTKATAATACAGTATAACGTTATATAGTATATATAAAACTATAACTATAATATTATTTGTAAATATTTATATTATATTTATATATATTAGATCTACAATATCTATAAAATTGAATGTAATTAATTTTTATTTTTAATAAATTTTATTAAAGATATATCAAAATTTATTTATAATATTTATATTAATATCTATTTAAAATCTTTCATATATTATGAAACGGTTCGGTTAGAGTTATCCTTTTCAATAACCCATATAAAGCAATCTTTAATGAGCTAAAAATAATATGTGTTAAGTAACTGTTAGGGTCTATAATTTAATGTGTATTATTGGGTCTTACGGGTCATTAGTTTAAATTTGTAATACTATAGCGGGAATGGGTCTCATATTTAATAGAAACACCACCATTGGTTGTGACCCATTGGTCATCTTTGCTCAAATAGACTGTCCATCTTTTATATTCTCCATCTCCTCTCAGATCTTTTCCATAGCAGTTCCTCAGCTGATGCTTCTCCTCATAAGAGGCACTCAATGCTGTTCCGCAATCAGTCGGCGCTAAAGGACAGTAAGTCGAGTCAGTTTCGATATCTCTTTGCATTCAAGCAGACAGTGTGCGGTTAACCCACAGTCAGGAAACTTTACATTGTTTCTAGTGAATCACAAATAGTGATATAAATAAAGTATAATAACTTGATATTCATTAATAAATCAATAATTAATAAAAATAATATTTTTTGTATATTTAAATATTATAAAATACAAACTCTGTTCATATATCCAATTAAATGCAATTACATACAATCACATACAATCAATAGCCTAATTAAAACTTCCCTTAAAGTTATTGTGAATATTATATTTAAAAACAATGTTTTATTTTTATTAAAATCCAAAATACAAGAAAAAAAAGTTTCATTGAATTTAAATTGGATTTTTGGGTTAGTTTTTCACTAAACAATTTACATATATATATAATATATAATTTATTATTACCACACAGATATATTTTCATTTAAAAACGTTTTCATATATTTTATAGTTTAGATGGGAAAACGGTAGATAAAGTATTGACATATACGATATAATACAGTATTTGCAAAATACAAAATAAATTTTATTTTGTAAGATAYTATATTTTAAACTCTCTCTCTCTCTCTCTCTCTCTCTCTCTCTCTCTCTCTCTCTCTCTCTCTCTCTCTCTCTCTTATATTTGCCACACCTTAATGATCAATAATAATCTCGTATTTATATCTCTTATATTAAAGTAAAGCCTCAAGCATTTTATATACAGATATAATTAATTAATTTGATTCCGTAATTCCTAAAATAACTTAGTAGTTAAATATATTGATATTTTTATAATTAATTCAAATTAATATTTATATTATTTATTTATTTAAAGTTTAATGTTTATTAAAATTATAATATACTTATGTTTCTTATTTATATAATTTACAGTAGTTTTAAATATAAAAGTAAAATTATATTTAGAATAATTAAAGTTTTATTTTAATAAATTATTTACTATAGTTTATCACAATATTAAACTAAACAATAAATCTAAATGATATTGAAAATAATAATAATTATTGTTATAGTAGTAACATATTTTTAAAGAATTCATTATTACTATAATTGTTTTGTTTATATTAATATAATATAATTTTATTGAATATGAATAATCATAAAATATAATTGAAATACTTTATATAACTTTTATTATAATATAATATATTCCTAGAAATGTGCCCTTAATTAGAGCACAAGGAGTTGCTTTAAGTGAAAACTTTTATGTATATGTAATAAAAACCATAAGAAAAAACAAACAAAAGCTTTCATAAAACAAAAATTTAGAAAAATTTAAATCAAGTTTTAATATAATATTTAAATACATATATCAGGAATTAATAACTTAAATAAAATATAATATAATTATTATTATTATAACCATTATTAGTATAAAARGCCTGTCCGCCAAAATATAAGTAATAATATATAATAAAAAAAAGAAAAAAATAAAATAAAAGGAAAATAAAAATAATGTAATTATAAAAAACAAAAACCAATGTAAAAAACAACAAAAATCGAGATTAAGTCCAAAAACTTATGACTCGATTATATGTGTGAAACAACACTTTCGCCAAACATTAATATATTGTTGACTGTTGTGGACGGTATTAGTCGATGAAAACATGATTCCCTACCGAATCCCATGGAGAAGCCTAACCAGTRTTGCGGTGCAAATGATAGCCGTAGCCCTCATTGCTATCGAAAGAGATGTTATGCACCGTAATGTTAATAACGCCCGACCCTATCGTGATAGCTATGACTATATAGTGATCGGTGGTGGTAGTGCTGGCTGTCCAGTAGCCCGACGTCTCTCAGATGCTGGACATAGCGTATTACTTCTGGAGGCCGGACCCGTCCAGAGCTTTATATCAGATGTTCCCGGAATAGAACGGACATTGTTAAGAGATAATCCCCAATACAACTGGTTATATATAACAGCACCACAACGTAAAATAGGTTTGGGCCGTACAATACCAGGTGTTTATATTGAGGACAAGGGTCGCGCATTGGGCGGTACATCAACTATAAATCGTATGGTATGGATCAGACCAAATCCCCGTGATATGGATAATTGGGTTCATACATATGGCGCTGAGGGCTGGAGTTGGGCCGAGACGTTGCCAATATTTACCAGAATTGAAAATAATAGTGACTATCAAGTGGTCTCTCAAAATCCCGAATATCACGGAACACATGGACCGGTGGGTATCACAACTGTCAACCCAAAAGACAACTTCATTCTGGATCAGGTTCGCCAATCATACAACTCATTGGGCATTCCCATTGTCGACCTCAACGGTCCGACACAATTGGGAACTAACTTTGTTCAGCTCAGTATTGAAGACGGATGGCGTGAAAGCTCTGCCAATGCATACTTGGATCCGAACCCCAATCCCCACAACCTGTACATCTCAACTGATTCCTATGTGACTCAAATACTTATAGATGATGTTCACGGAAAACCTACGGCTACTGGAGTKCAGTTTGATGTCACTGATGCTTACGGTAAACGGGAGACATATCGTGTGCGAGCAAACAAAGAGGTCATATTAAGTGCGGGTAAGTTATCACATTATTAAATACTGATGTAATGATATTATAGTTATTAAGTAATAATTAAATTTATGGCAAATCGTGTGGCAAACAGACAAAACAATTAATTTGATTATATCAGTATTCATGTTAATTATTGTTTGCATTAAATGGGTAAAAACATTGGCTTTCACACAAATTTATATAATTATTTTAATTAACAATCGTTATCTACAGTATTAAACAAATTATTTATTAATAAGTATTGTTAAATTAATTTATGGCAACCAAATTTGATAATATTTTTTTAAATTCATCTATCTAACAAAATTATAAAAATTTAGCACATTAATTAACCTTATATTATTACAAAATAAACTACTAAAAAATGYTTATTTTAAATAATTATTTTATTTAAGAAATATTAATTTGAAAACGAGTGATTAAGTTAARCAATTTAAGTTTATTTGCATAATATAGGCCATTATTAAGATAATAAAAAAGTAATTAAAATATTTTAAAATTTGATTTTGTTGATATTAATATATTTATATACAATTAGTATTAGTATTAAATGTTTTTAATTACCGATATTAAAATATAATGATTTATAATAATTAAATAGAGAGACAACTTTAGCTATACTAATGAAATTAAAAAAATTATTTTTTATTTTAAGGCTCTTACGGTTCGCCACATTTGTTGATGTTGTCCGGCATCGGACCTAAAGATCACTTGAGCCAAATAGGAATTAATACTATAGTAGACCTACCGGTTGGTTACAATCTGCAAGAGCACGTCCAGGTATCAGTCGAGAGTCTCATCAAAGACCCCCAACCGTTCCTCAATGACTTTCCTGAGTTAACCACTGAAAAGTTATATCAGTTAATCAAGAAAAATATGGGTCCACTTAGTTCGTCACCTGTTGTCCACACTTTCATCAATACTAAGTCTAACTCGGAAGAGCCCAAGTGGCCAAATGTTGTACTTTCCAATCGTTTCTTACAATTTTCGACCAATTTGTCCGAACTTATTGAGATTTATAGTAAAGAACAGTTRCATGAATGGGCTCAGTATTACTACCCATTGATGGGCGCACCCTATTTATTAACAGACATATTTGTAAGGCGCACCCGTAGCGTAGGTCGTGTTTGGCTTCTTTCCAAAGACCCTTATATTTTGCCAGCAATTGATCCCAATTTTTTTGGTGACGAACGTGACTTCGAGGACCTGTTAGAAGCATTCAAATTCCAGCTCTATTTTCTGCAGAACTCTGCCATCGCTAAGTATGTTCGCCTTATCGATACACCTGTGCCTCCTTGTGCTCAACTCTTCTGTAAAGATCGACCCATTGAACAGTGCGATGACTATCTTAAGTGTTATATCACTAAAATCGGAGACAAAGAGCACCATTCAGTTGGTACGTGTCGTATGGGAGATCCGCACAGAAAAGACACTGTTTTGGATCCCAAACTCAAAGTTAAAGGCGTCGATGGGTTGAGAGTATGCGATGCATCAGTTATGCCGCGCTTACCTAATACTAACACCAATGCCGTGTCCATTATGATTGGCGAGAAGTGCGCCGATATTATTAACAGTAATGGAGGTTATGGTAATCACAATAGTAATAGTCTCGGTTATAGCAAAGAAATAATAGTTAGCGATAGTGGACACGGATATGATAGCGATAGTGTTAGTAATGTTTATGTAAGCAATGATAACAAGTATTTAAAAGCTTAATGATTGCCAAATAATAACTTTTATATTATATAATGTATACTGATATATATATATTACAAAATATTAATGTTTAGTCTATATGTTTTGTTTGGTAAATAATATTTAAAATTTATCTTATTTTATTTTTGTTTTGTTTTCTTAAAATTGTTGTATTTTTAATATAAATTGCATAATTTGTTGTTTTCATTTAATAATAGACTTCATCAATAAATATTTTTTAAAATATTAATATGCAAGCCGTTAACGATTATTACTTTCATATTAAACTAAGTAATATAAGTAGCGGTAAATTATTTTTTTAAATTAGATATAAAAAAATATATATTAACAAATTTTGTAATGACAATATAATAAAAAATTATACACAAAAAACTTGCACAAAATATCTTAATTGATATTTATTGTTTAATATTATTATGTGTTATGTCTAAAGTGCATTGATAAATTAGCCAGATGTTTTAGTATAGAAAAGCAATTAAGTTAATAACATGATTAATATTTAGATTAAAACTATTTTTAAATGAATATTAACATAAATATATAAATAAACTTACATTTAAACAAAATTAAATATACTCAATTGTAAATTTACTAGATTAATAATAAAAATATTAAAAATCTATTGTTAATAACAATTTGATATATAATAATTGAGATTATTGGGAAACTCTTATTTAAAAAATTTTAATATTACAATATTAATTGTTACTTTACACAAATTATAAATTATTAGTTAACTATAAACTTTAAATTTAATTAAAAGTTAGTAAAATGTTTGAATACTCATAATTAATAAACTGATATTCGAAAACATGTTATTAGAAAAAAATAAAATTTTTCCCCTGAGTGTAAATAACTATAAATTTTTAGGTTAATTTTGTTATTTTTAAACTCAATTCATTTAAATGATAATTTAATAATTTTGATATTTATTATCAGTATTTTATTATTTTTAATTATATTTATATTTATTTGTATTCAAATAATGTATTTATAATATACTCTATTTAATTATCCTTTTAAGCTATATCTAAAATTGACATTTTAATTATATATCATATAAATTGTATATTTATATTATACAATATTTTATAATATATTTATACAGTATTTTCTGCGGAAAATTATGTCTTATTTAATAATATGCCTAAAGTTTAGTCTTTGAACTACAATATTAACTTCAATCAAACAAATTTAATTAATATTAAGTAATACATTAAATAAATCAAAATACTTATTTTTATTTCTTAACAATTAAATCCTGCATATTAAATAATGGACATATTTATTATTGTTAATTTATTTTTTAAAAATAAATTAAAATAATAAAAAATATTTTATTATTAGAAAATAGATTATCATTAAATTATATTTATATATACAGTATATATAATTATATAAAAAGTTAATTATTTATATTTAGATTTATATATTTTTTAATAAATATTTTAGAATTTAATTGGAATACAAACAAAAACAAACAAAAAAATAGTTAAAAATCGAAATTCAAGTTTTCTATTTTTTTAAAATAAAAATAATATAATATATAAAAATATAAATTTAGCTCATACTATTAAAATTTATACATTTAATATTGTATTATTACTTTAAATACTATATTTATTAAAAAAAATCAAAAATTGTAGAAAAAATAATGTATTTTAAAATCAATAAAATTAGATGTTTAACAAAAATAAAATATTTCTAAATTTATTTATAGTAATCAAAAATTAATACAAAAATAATAAATATTTCATTTTAAGTTCAAATCTAGCGACTCGATTGTGTGAAATTTTTTACAAAATACTAGTGCATTATCTATTTGTTATCATTGCATATTAGTATCAAAAAACATGTATCCCTACCGAATCCCATGGAGAAGCTTAACCAGTATTGCGGTGCAAATGATAACCGTTGCTTTCATTACTATACAAAGGGATAATCAACACCATAGTGTCAATAATGCCCATTCATTTCGTGATAATTATGATTATATAGTGGTCGGTGCGGGCAGTTCTGGTTGTCCCGTAGCTCGACGTCTATCTGATAGAGGCTATAGTGTATTGCTTCTTGAAGCTGGTCCCGTACAGAGCTTTATAACTGATGTTCCCGGTGTTGAACAAACTATCCTTAGGGATAATCCACAGTATAACTGGGCATTTAGTACAGTACCTCAACGAAAAATAGGTTTATCCCGAACTATACCGGGTGTTCTCAATGAGGATAAGGGACGTGTGTTGGGAGGGTCATCAACCATTAATAGTTTAGTGTGGCTCAGACCCAATCCACGTGATATGGATAATTGGGTTCATAAATATGGTGCAACGGGTTGGAGTTGGGCCGAAACTTTACCCATATTTAACAGACTCGAGAATAACAGTGATTATCAATTTATTTCGCAAAATCCCGAATATCACGGAACACATGGACCGATAGGTGTGATGTCAGTCAATGCAATTGACAACTTTATTCTGGATCAGGTTCGCCAATCATACAATTCAGTGGGCATTCCCATTGTCGACCTCAATGGTCCGACACAATTGGGAACTAACTTTGTTCAGCTCAGTATTGAAGACGGATGGCGTGAAAGCTCTGCCAATGCATACTTGGATCCGAACCCCAATCCCCACAACCTGTACATCTCAACTGATTCCTATGTGACTCAAATACTTATAGATGATGTTCACGGAAAACCTACGGCTACTGGAGTTCAGTTTGATGTCACTGATGCTTACGGTAAACGTCAGACATATAAAGTTCGCACAAACAAAGAGGTCGTACTAAGTGCGGGTATGTTATTGCATACAATTTCTTTAATTATGTTATTTTTATATTTGATTGAGTCTTAAACAGCGGCTATAATGTCGTTAATTATAATTATCTGATTATCCAGATTTAAAAATGACAAAAGTCATAGAAAATATTATAATTAATCATTTATTAAGTTATTGTATTATTGGTAAATAACAGATAAGTGTTAAAAAATATTAAAAATAACATTGCGACAAAAAACTGCTATAAAATCTATGAGAATACTGTATGTAAAACTTTAATTACAATAATTACAATTATCTGATTAATACCATTGTACGAGTTTTACAAATTATAATTTAAATTGTATTAATTTATTCAAAAATATAGTTAACTCAACTAAATCAGACAAACATTTTATAGTATTTTTAACAGTAATCTTTCAGTTAACAATTACTGTATATTGTTAAAGTATTTGTCTGAATTAGTTAAGTTAATTATATTTTATGAATAAATTAATAAAATTTAAATTACAATTTGTATAACTCGTTGCAGTGAATAGTAATTATCTGACCAATTATTAAATCAACAGTTAATTAAAAAAATGATCAAGTACAATGTTATTAATCAGATACAGTAATTGTAATTAATAGCATCACTGATGATTTATTTATCATTATCATCATTATTTGAAATAAATGTTATTAATTTAACAAAATCACTATTTTATAGTATATTTAGAGTTAATTTAAATACATAGTAATCTTTTTTAATAGTTTATAATTATGTATATTTCTATACTAAATATTATCAATAATTTTATTTGAAGGGTCATATGGTTCACCACATTTGTTAATGTTGTCCGGCATCGGACCTAAAAGTCATTTAACAAAATTTGGTATTAAACCGATAGTGGATCTACCTGTCGGTTATAATCTTCAAGATCACGTACAGGTGTCCATTGATAGCTTAATTAAAGATCCGCAACAATTTCTTAATGATTTTCCTGAGTTAACTACTGAAAAGTTGTATCAATTGATTAAGAAAAATATGGGTCCATTAGGTTCATCACCAGTTGTTTACACGTATATTAATACCAAATCCAATGCAAATGAACCCGAGTGGCCAAATGTTGTCCTCTCTCATCGCTTTTTACAGTTTTCAACCAATCTAACTGAACTAATTGAAATCTATAGCCGAGAACAGTTAGATGAATGGGAACAGTATTATTTTCCATTACTGGGTGCACCCTATTTAAGTTCAGAGGTATTTGTTCGCCGAACTCGTAGTTTTGGTCGGGTGTGGCTTATGTCTGAAGACCCGTATGTTTTGCCTGCTATTGATCCAAATTATTTTGCCGATGACCGTGACTTTGAAGATATGTTAGAGGCTTTTAAATTCCTGATTAACTTTCTACAAAACTCTGCCATTTCAGAGTATATAAACTTTATGCATACACCTGTGCCTCCCTGTGCTTCATTACTTTGTATGGACCGACCATTCCAACAGTGCGATGAGTATCTTAGGTGTTATATAACTCAAATAGGTTTCAAAGAGCATCATTCAGTTGGTACGTGTCGTATGGGAGATCCGCACAGAAAAGACACTGTTTTGGATCCCAAACTCAAAGTTAAAGGCGTCGATGGGTTGAGAGTATGCGATGCATCAGTTATGCCGCGCTTACCTAATGCTAACATCAATGTCCTGTCCATTATGATTGGCGAAAAGTGCGCCGATATTATTAATAGCGGTTACTAAAGATTTGTATTGTAAATATAATAATCCATTTATTTATTTATTTAGGTTTATATTTTAAAACTATTAACTTACACAAAACATTTATTGTACAAATTATACTATAATATAAAATAAAATAATTTGTATTTATAACTTATTTTATTGTATACTAATTTAATTACTCTGTATAATATAGAGTATCAAACATTAATTTTTTCCCACATTCATGTAGTTACATGACAAATATATGACATAAAATTTATTTTTCGTCTATTTTTAGCAGCCATAAAATGCTTCATTTTTGAATATTTAAAAATTATATAAAATGAATTTTTATATCTTAATGTTTTATTAATATAATATTTAATAATTATTATTTTTCAATGCTAAATAATATTTGACTAATTTATAATACAAGTATTAAACAATATTTTTATTGTTGATTTAATGACTGATATCTTCTATATTATGATATAATAATAACTTTCAAAGAATTAACTGTATTATTGAATACCATTATTAGGTACATTAAGACCACTTAGATTAGGTACACTAATTAAAATTTTTCAAACAATAATTATCTCACTTTATCAATATAATGATAATATTTAATATTTAAGTGATTTATAAATTTACGGTAAATAATAAACAATTTATAAATAAATAATAAACAATTTATAAATAAATAATAAACAATTTATAAATAAATAATAAACAATTTATAAATAAATAATAAACAATTTATAAATAAATAATAAACAATTTATAAATAAATAATAAACAATTTATAAATAAATAATAAACAATTTATAAATAAATAATAAACAATTTATAAATAAATAATAAACAATTTATAAATAAATAATAAACAATTTATGATAAAATTTATTGTTCTGTTTTAAAATATTAAGTTTGTAAACAATTTTGTCTTTTATTTAAATAAACTTAAATCATTTTTTTAAAAATATGATACTAATGTAGTATATGATATTGCAGTTTATATAAATGTTATCATATTAATTCACAATCTACAAATTGTTTACTAAAATTGAATATTATTTTAATAAATAGAAACTTAATTTTATAAAATAATTTATGATTTAAAATAAAATATTAAAATATTATTTAAATTAAGCAAACATATGGAGTGGTTTTATTACTAAAACTATATTTCTAGTTTTCAACTCTAATATATTTAATATAAGATAACGTATAATAAATTTATCATATATTTGAAGAGTATTTTATTCAACTATTAATCCCATTATAAATAATTACTAAAAATATTATTTCAAATTGAGTTCGTATGAATAACGTTTATTATAGAAACTAGCTTGATAAATTATATAAATTGATAATGATGCATTTTTATAATAAAAATATTATTATTGCATAATAGATGGAATATACTGTACATAAATTGTATATATGATGTGATATTTTAGTGTAAAAATGCATTATTTTGCACATTTATAGTATATATTGTACTCACAGTAATAACTTAACTGTTGTATGCGATTATAATTTTTTTTAAAAATCATAATTGATAAACTTGTTTAAATGTTATTTCAATGCTAAGTTTATATTATGTAATAAAACATACAATTACATGCTAACAGTAACAATGGTAAAATATATGAAATTGATTATTGATTATTGGCATAATTTGTTTATCAAGTAGTAGAGTACATAAACTTATTGTTTTATAATTGCATGAAATCAAATCAAACGCAAACCAGTAGCAACACAGTGAGTGAACAAATTTTAATAGGAGTATAAATTAGTGAGCTTGGTGAACTATTTAAAAATTATTAAATTATTTCTACAAATTGTCAAAACATTATATATTTTTCTATAAAAGTTTATTTATTTAATTTGTTGTTAAACTGTAAAAATCATGTCTACAAATAATATTAATAGTGAGAATATAACAAATAATATAAAGTTGACCCTCTCATTTAACAAATTGGGCAAATATTTATTATGGTTTGGTTTTTTTAGTATGTTTTTCATAAATTTATTCAAAGTTATTGAACAAAAGTGGATCCCATGGCCGGCATTAATATTTGTGTGGGCAATGAGTGCCACCACTATATTTATCGGGTGTTTAATACTATTTATTACACGTAAAACTATATCAAAATACAAACGCAATGGACTGGTGTTTGACGGCGTCTACATAAACACCATCTCTGGTCTCGTAGATATGCAAAATACCGGCTCCCGACCGGCCATACCCACACTGTTTCGACAGTTTAGCTATAGTACACCACCGCCCAGTTATGATCAAGCGGTACAACAGGACGATCCAAGCTAGACATATACACAAACTGATACACATGTATACCTGAGCTTAATTGGATACTCATATACTTAAATATAGCTAATTCAATGAATGTTTGGTCAAATACAGTAATGACTTGATTTTGCTATAGTTTTCACACAATAATCATAACATTTAGATTTTGCTTTTGATCTCAACGATTGCTAAATAATTATATTAGTTATAGTTTACTATAATATTAATGTATTTTTATAGAATTAATAATAATTATGTACTAATTATCGACATTTATTTTTATTTATAAAAACTTTACAATGTTTATCACAAAAAATATTTATTTATTAAATGAAATATTTATATTTATAGTTAAAAGTATTAATTATTATTAAGAATAGTATTTATTTTTAGAGAAAAAGCAAATTGAAAACACAATTTTCGTAAATTATTTATAATATGCAAAATGTGGCTAATATTTACCTATTGGTCAATACTTTTACAGCTATTTTTTGCGACATTATTAGTATTCAAATGAACTAATCTGTCGATACCTATACTATGATTTACTGGGATTTAACAACTAATAGATGATATAATATTAATAAATACTTTTTGGACTAAATTTAATGAAATCTGTTTTGTATTTTTTTAATAAAGAGAATTAAATAAAGTATTAAAAAGAAAAATGATATAAATTAATTATTTTTAAAACTAAATATTTACTTGAAAAATATAAAATCTCTCTCTCTCTCTCTCTCTCTCTCTCCCATCTTTTTACAGCTATTTAAAGTAAGATACTGTACTATACATAGAGTATGTAAATATATTTTATGATATATTATATTATCAATAACAGTTTATGTTTATTCATAGTTTATTAATAACAAAAGGTAAATAATGTATTTATTAATTTATTAGTTTAATTGCAATTATAGTGAATTTATTAAAATCTATTTAACTTTTATAACCTAAAATACTTTTTAATGTTTTTTAAAAAAAACTTTCATTTAAATTTTTAAATGATTTAATAGCCTGGTTAAAACATTTTTATCAATTTATATTTAAAAGAGATATTAAATGATATGTTATTTATAAAATACATTATCTCAATTTTTAATTAATTTAAATTTTAACAGCAGTGTTATATTATATTCAATTTAAATATCCTAATTTATTTATTAGTATATTTTTTACAAGTTATCGAGTTATACGAAAAAAATACAAATTTTAATTGCAAATATTGTCTCAACAAAACAAAATTGCGATTATCAGGGGATGGCTAACAATAATATTACTTTAGGTAAATATTATATCAATTAAAATATAATATCATTAAATGTATGAAATGCTGTACAATATGTCATTAATTAATTCATACTTTAGCCAATTTTTTTGTGATGGCAAACGTGGTCGCGGACAGGTTAAACATGACACCGGTGCATATTTTGCTATAATTACACAATATAGTGGTCATCAATTGATTATTTATGTGGACGGGTTTGCTGGCAACGGTATGCACGACAATGGAGATAAAGGGTCACCACTTATAGCCTATGAGTTAGCTGTCGAGCCTAAGTTTAAAGACAAGTTTTCAGCTAAAATACTATAGATATTCGTGGAAATGGATCCTAAAAAATAAAAAAAAAACTTTTTAAAAAATTTAAATAATTATAGACAAACATTAAATGTATTACCAATTCATGTGGAGGACCAGATATTATGTAAAAGTTTTGATGAAGTGATACCTTATCTATTGGACAATTATACTAACTATTATTCAATCCCTATGTTTGTATTGGCGAACAAAACAATAGTAATGATGGTTTGACTAATGAAGGTTACAATCAATACAATAAACCAAAAGAAACTGATTGTGAAATAATTTCTGCTAAAAATACTACTGAAAATGTTTTAATATATTTTAATTATAGCTCTTTTAATAATTAATTATAATTTACTTATAGATTTAAATTTTACATATTTATACATATTTATTATTTATAATATTAGAATAAACAAATTAAAAAATATTTTAAATTATTATTTTATAATTTCAAAGTTATAATATTTTGATATTATTTATTTATTTTAAAAATTTATTGCTTTAATACAGTAAATACTAATTACTATATATTAAAATAATGTAGAATAAACTATTGGTAATTAGCATAATATTATTTATCAAAATATCATTTTTAACAATTTATATATAAGTAATTCTACATAAAGTAGTATAAAATTATTCTTATTATTATTTATATTAAATACATATATGACATATGAAATTATAATAATCTCTAAAAAAATTCAAACTGAACTAATTTTTTTTATACCTACCGTAAGTATTTTATTTTTAAACATTTTACTATACATATAATATTTATTCAAACAAATGTTATTATAGTTTAAAAAAACAAATTATTTACTAACATTTGATAAGTTTATGAAAAGTTCATTATTATACAGTATTAATACTATTTATTTTTATTATTTATAGCATATCACTAACAATAGTTGATATAAGTTAATATTAAATAATTAATAATAGTTTTATTATATTTTTATTTTTTGATAAAAACTATTAATTACATTTTATGTCCCCGTAAAAATTGTTTGATTATTTCGATAACAATATTATCTCAATATAAAATTGTATTTAAGATAATTTATCTGACGGTAACCTTAAATACATAATCTTATTTAAGACTATAAATTTTTTGTACTTATATTATACACTTTT